ATCATACTGGGAGCTGAAAGAAACCCTAACATGTGTAACAACTTCAAAAAGACAAGTGACGTGTATGCATCTACAGTTTGCATAGGAAAAGAAAGACCATGCACTTACTTAACAAATTAAATGTACAATAATATTGCCATGTAAGAGAACTAGGGTAAGTGCAAAATACAAGCAAGTAGTGATACATGAATATAGGACTCACAGCGTCAATTCTTCTGGTGTCAGATACAAGGCAGAAGCACGGCACTATCACCAATCCCCTTCTCCCAGGACAGGTCTGAATTATTTCCCTAAAATCCATGTACAATTTCTGGGGAAATTTAGGTGCATTAAGAATGGGGTTCACACAGGCCAGAGCGCCAACTGAGAAGCTGCCTAAAGTAGCCCATAGGAGGAAGGAGGAGCAAGGAGGAGAGGAACTCGAGCCCTGTCCTCTCTCTTCCTGGGGCTTAGATATGTTTCTTTCAACTGCTGGGAAGTGCTTTAGTCTGGTACAAATTCAAGTCTCTCTCTCAAAGTGCCACAAATGTAAGGAAGTTGAAGGGCCCAGTGGTCACATGCAGCAGAGGTGCACAGTATAGGGAAGTATCTATGAGGCAAGCCACACAGCAGCCTCCCCACAGCAGGGCTGTACGAGTATTCAAGTGTTCCAGCATGGAGCCACAACACGAGGGATCGGAGGCCCCCTCCTTCAAGAGGCACCACCGGGCAAAATGGTGGCACGGGCTCCTCGTCCCACCGCCAGCAGCTGGCGGAGGCTGCTGGGCCTGCAGGTAGTGCAGATAATGCCCAGCAGATGCGGCCCCGCAGGGCAATATAGCTGGAGAAACACCTCACCTTGCCACACCGTGTGCCCCGAGGCGAGCAGCCTCAGGGTGGGAGGCCTGGGACATGCCCTGCATGCCGCAGGGACTCAGGAGGACAGAGCTGCAGTGCCCAGGGACCTGGCTGAGGGCACATCCAGCAGCCCAGCGAGAAGGACTGAAGGCTTCCCATTCTGGGATCCGGGTGCCTGCCAAGTGCTATGTCCCCGTAATCCTGCATTGGGTTCTACAAACAGCCTGCTAGCATTTCTAGCCGTAAGCTCAGGTTGCCTTTAAAACAAGTGCTTTGCAGGTGAACGTGTCAGGCCCCCGGTGAGCACACGAAACAAGGGGATTATGAGAACATTCTGCAACCCTGACCGCAGGAATCACCCGCCGTTCAAGGACAGGAAGAAGAAACTAATCTCTCACGGGATGTGGCATAACTGGATCACAGAGAAATACATGAGTTATTAGTTAAGCAAGAGTGGAGAATGAAGAAAATACCTCTTTGAAGAGCTGACCGAATACTGCCATCAACTCCAGTAAACAGAATCACACTGGAAGAAATACTTCCTTTACACAGACCTACTAGAAAGTACTGATTTACCTTTTGCTCCAGCTTTCCTTTCTCAGCAGTCAATTGGCTGAGGATCCCCACACCCCTGCTTAAAGGCAGCATCGATGCCCTTTTCGGATGCCCCAGGGCTGGCAAGGACTCCGTTAACCCTTTACCTGTTTGAAGTCACACAAAGCCCTTCCACCCAGCCGTAGCACATGTATTACAGAGATCCAAAACCTGAAACAGGCTGTTCATTAAAAAGCTCAACACATCATTAACTACAAATGAAAGGTAAGACTTTCAAAAGCATCAGCACAGGACTAAAATTGCCTTCTTTAAAGCCAAAGGGAGCTTACCCTTGACCTTGAAGGGTGGAGGGTTGGGTTAACTTTGAGCACTTTTGCAAATCCCAGGCAAGGTGGTGAAACACTAAGATTAAGAAGGCTGCCAAAAGAAGTGGTGTACTAATGGCAATTTATTCCCCTTGACCTGATGCATTAATGCTTATTTCCCGCACACACAAACTGTGTAATATAAATCAAATCAACTCCTCCTCTAAATGTAGATTGGAAGAAACACTGAAGCTTCACTTCAGTTCATAGCACTGTGAAACAGAGATGTTTATCAAACACACGTACAACTTCTTGTCAACATATGAGGGAACGCAAACCTATTTACAGACAAAGAGAGCAGGGAGAAAACTTTAAAAAGAAAATCTGACTGTATAATGGAACAATGGTTCAATGGCTAAAAAAAGCAACAAGACTGGTTTTCTGTTTACACAGACAATTGCCAGATAGATAAAAATTGGCTTTAAAAGTCTTGTGTACAGAATCTTAAATCTAACAAGATAAAGTGCAGCTGCATCCCTCTGAAGTTACAATGAATGCTGCTTGGTTGCTCTAATTCTAATTCACATAAACATATATGACCAAAACCAAGTGAACAAATCTGCGAGGAAAGCTTAGTTAAGTATGGCAAAGCAGGGAGGACTTCAAGATACAACAACCATAAATAATTAACTGTATCTTAGAGAAGCTTTCTGACCTTTGTCATACAAGTGACATTTCCAAGTGAGAAGGAAGTCACATCACTGTTGATCTTCTCAGTCAACAGGCAAAATGCCACAGCACATGGGGTCTGAACTAGTAATAGCTTTTCAGCTGCAGAAGTGACGTTGTTTTGAAGGACGAGACATAGTGTCAGCGTAGGGAGGAGAGCAGCGTATCCACTCCTTCAGTGGAGAGAACATCTCAGTCATCAGTGGTAAGATCACCAGTGTCCTTGATCATCAAGTTATCGGCGGCCCTGATCTAGTCACCAGGAGCCTGGCCCATGACCTTAGAGAAGCCAGGCTTTCCCTGTGAGGCACTAGTTAATGTTTTTACTGACTCTGGACAGCCATCTAGCCACCAGAACGCATGCAGGCTAAGGTCGGTGTGTTTGTTTTTCAGTTTCTTCTTAAAAACAGACTTACCAGTCTTATTTTATAAAAGACAATAGATTTCCCCCCACAATGGGACTACCAGGATTATACAAGCGTTTCCAGATAAAGCTCCAAGGCAATTCTGGAGGTGTTAAAATACAAGCTGGACAGCTCTGAAGGAAAATATCCATGAAGAAAAATCTTGTGAAAAGAAGTCTAATAATTCTTAAGAAGGAACTTCTCTCAGTTATTCTGAAGTAAATACTAGTGTGTGCCCATAGACACCAAGAAGCATTAATTAGTATCAACAGAATGCCTATACTGATAACATAATGCAAAAATAACAGCTACATCTCCATGTTTGTTTGTTGTTTTTTTTTGTTTGTTTGTTTGTTTTTAAGTTTATAACTGGCTTTATCAAGCTGTAGGATCAGGCCCTTAGTAGAGCATTTCCCCTCTGTTCTGGAAAACAATGATTATTGTCTGCACAAAGCATTTTCAATGGTTCCCATGCCACATTCTGAGACAAGACCAACAGTGGGAAGCTGGCAATAATTAACAAAAGATTTCAAGGATCATAGAGGACTGCAACTATGCATGGTTTTGGAAATATAAAACGCTGGCATGATTTTATCATACCATGATGCAAGTTAAGGAGGAAAATGGAGAGAGAATTGATTAATTAACTACTGACCACCATCCTTTGAGCCCAGTGGTCCAGCTTTTATCCACTTACCATGCAGTCCACCCATTCAGACTATACTTTCACAACTGGAATGCTAAGAGACCATGTGGAAAGCCTTGGTTAACTCAAATTAAACAAAATCTATTCCTGTCATCCACAGAGGGAGTCATTTTATCAGAAGCTCAGTTGGAAGTTCCCCTTACAGCCAAACCAACCTCCTGCCATGCCTGTTTTTTTTTTTGTGTGTGCACATCGGAATGGACTCTTTTCGTGCTTTGAAGACGTTTTCCTTGATGATCAGTCAGGTCTCCTGGGTGCTTTTGTTCTTCAGAACTTTATCGCACAGTGTTCAATTGACTAGTTTCACAAACAAGGTGAAGTCCGTGATCTTTGCTCTGCTACATGCCTTCCTGACTTCTCTCGGGATCTTAAACTTCAGTGCTGTGTGGTAACTGCAGCCAAGACTGACATTAACTAGCAGAGCCCTGAACTGTTGCTCATCTGTGAGTAGCAAGGCCAGCAGAGCACCTCCCTTAGTCCATCTAGGCCACTCATCAATATATTGTTCCTTCTGCACTCGAAAGACCTTCTGCATTGTACTACTGTGTCACATTTCCAGTAAGTATCAGGGTGCTTAAAATTCCCTGAGAACCAGGGACTGCAACAAAAGTGCTCTTTTAAGAAGGCTTCATAGCATATTAGGAAAATTCAATTTGGAAGAGACCTCAGGTCTCACGTCCAACCTCCTGTTCAAAGCAGGGTCAGCTTGAGATCATGCCATGTTGCTCAGCATCCTATCCAGCTGGGTCTTGAAAACCTCCAAGGATGAAGACTGCTCATCTTCTCTGGGTCTCTGTTCCACTTCTTGACTGTCCTTACCATGAAAAAATTTCCCCTCATAGCCAGCCAGAACCTCCCATTTCAACTAACACCCATCATTTCTCATCTTCCCACCACACATTGCTGAGAAGATCCTGCCTCTGTCTTTTCTTGATGTCTTTTCTCTTTGCAGGCATTGGAAGGCTGCTATCAGGTTCCCCCAAAGCTTTCTCTCTTTTTCTCTCACTTTACTAGTGCCCACATGAAAGAATAGCAAAGTCTGATGATTAGACAGGCCTTGGTAATTTCTCTGATATCCCTGATCCAGCCCCTGGGGAAGCAGCAAGCCTCAGAAGTCATCAGGTCTGGTCAGCAGATGGACGCCTCCATTCCCTGTTAGCCATTGCTTGCTCCTAGTGGCACTGGTTATGAGAAGTTGTTGATCAGGTGCAGCTGGCCCAAACACCTCTCTTGACAGAAGTCACTCCTCCTCTCCTGTTTTCAGGGCACTATACATTTTATTAAATCTTTATTATTATTAGCCTCACGTATCTGTATTACTGAGGATGACACCACGTATGATTATATCCTTCTGTCAACTTGTATGAAAGAGACTAAGCAGGAAACTACAGTTCTTATGAGTGGTGCCTATGATTTAGGCTTCTCAAAGTGAAAAACTTAAACATAAGCAGCACAAACACAGCTACTTATGAACATGGCAAAAAAATAACAAAGAAAATATTCCTTAAAGTATATAAAAAAATAAAAATCTTACAGTCATATGCACATTAGAAGTGAACTATATATGCAGAACACTCTGCAGAACCAGGGAGGTTGATTACTTGTCCATATCACAATGTATGCTGTTTATTGAGTGTGTGTGAAGACCTTTAATGCCAGACTTCACAGACCTCACTGCGGTCACGAACAAAGCCAAAGCCATAAATGTAACACCCGATTTTCAGGGGAGATGGGAATATGGAAAAGTGTTTGGGAAATTCTCCTACAAAGATGGAATTGAATCTCTCAAGAGAACTAGAGAACAGTTTCTACAGCCTCCAGGCACTGGGATGTGGCACAGGGGCACTCCTTCATCTCCAGGTCAGTCCAGTGCGGCCAAGACTGCTAAGCCCATCCCTTTCCTTCACGGGAGGAAACTCCCTCTTCTGTCACTGGACTACACAAGAGAGGGGAGGGAAAGAGAAGAAAGAAAAAAACACCCTCTTCTGTCCACCATTTTAGAGAGAGAAAAGGAATTTCTCAGCTGCTCTCCTATCTGACATCCAAATGGAAAAGGCAAGAGACCAGGCTGTTTCCTCATTGCATTAGAGGTGAGAGGAAGCAGGATAGGAAGAGGTCAGGAAGCAGCCAACAAAAGGTAAGAAGAGATGTTAAACTTCCCCATGTCCTAAAGCTGCTGCATTTGAATCAGGATTCTTAGAAATCTACAACCCAGATGTGGAAAAGGACTTTGGTAAAGCTGGGGGGGAGGGGGGGATGGCTTTCTCAGCGAAAGTACTTGTTCTGCTTTCTTTTGCATTTGCATGCTTCATCCAAAGTGTTACACAACACGAAGCTTTACAGAGCTATACAAAAACATGCATTCCACATGTGGCCAGGGAAAGACCCAGTCCCACCAAAATCTGTTCAAAATAAAACGCCTCACCCAAGTCTAACAGGATCCTAATGCAGATGGCTGAGTATGTACCACAACAACAAAAAAAAAAAAAAAAAAGAAAAAGAAATCATGCGTTAGAAAATATTCCTTGCTTTTTGTGACAAAAGAGCTTTTCCAAGATGATTCTGCAACTCCATGCCCCAAATTCACTAACGTTTGCCAGGATAGCAACGGCTGCTGCAGAATTCCACTGGCAAACACTGTATCTCACATTTTTCTCTTTCTCAATATGCTGTGATTTCCTGTGGAGTGGAGAAATAATCTATACTACAAAGAGGTGCAGTACTAACACTTGTAGAAGTAAATAATTTTACAGCAACATAAAGTATATATAGAAATATAATACTTGAGTGAAGAAATTCCTGAGCTAAGAGAGATTAGAAAAACACTCCGATAAACAAATGCCTTCAAAGCTTACATTATTTTACTCAGTGCAAAAAATATTGGGTAACTGTGTGCTGTTCCTAGAAAGAATGGAATTTTGTTGCCAACAGCTGTAGTTTATCAGAGGAATTATAATACTATATTCAAGATTTATGCTCCTGACAAAGGCATAAAGTTATCCAAACTAGGGCAGAAAAAACAATGGTCTCCTAATGAACCAGACGCTATTTTTGTTAACTCTTACTACAGCAGAAGTTATGACCTTCAAAAACAGACGCTCACAACTGTGGTTGATCTTTACAATGATTCGTAAGTCTTGCAATAACACTGTACATAGGGTGAACTGTTTTATCACAGGTTTTTAAACAAGCTAGAAACACACCCTTATCCTATTGAAATCGATTAAAATCATAAATATTTACCTCCAAAGCACACTCAGTTTTCTTCCTGACATTTTTGGGACTTACAGTTATGTTTTCCCTACCTTAAGAAAAGGTTTCCTCAAGATGTGCCATGTGCCATCTGACAGGACCGTACAAGACTGGAGAAAAGTGCCCCTAGTCAAAAGGCTGCTCTATGCATAAAGTAAACAAGCAAGGGGAAGCAACCTGGGGTCTCTTTGCTGCATGTATATGGACAGAAGTAGCCCTACCTGCCTGCACATCACGCTCCTGATTCCAGTGGAAACTGTTCCTCATGCTCTGCAGAATTAGGGTCTTCTGTGCTCCTCATAACTACAGTAGCTAACAGCATATAGAACTGTTATTTTTAAGTCAAACTGATATTAAGCAATAAAACTCAGCATGTCAAAGCTTTTAAGGCTCATTTATTTGCAAGCAGCCAAACAGCATACCCTGGGTTGAACCGTGGGCCAATTTACAGTCATGCTTTGTGCTGTTCCGTGAACATCACACCACATTGCACAAATTGTGAATCGACAAATCCATCGTCTTAAAATAATATGCCCAAGCCTCACGATGAGTCAGTGGCAGCGTCTTGTTTACGTCTCAGACTTTGGCTTCCATTTCATAGCTCTCAGTCCACCAGATCATAATTGCACTGCATCACCAAAAATGTTTTTATTTCTGTTCTTCTGAAAGTCCTGTTTACTTTGGTTGTTTTTGTTTGTTTTGCTTTTACTAGGGGAAGAAAATAAATTAAAAGCTTCTTAACAATTACAGTTGTGATTTTTTTTTTAAATGGGAACCAACAAAATATATTTCTCAGCCGATCCACAGAAAAGATAGGAAGCCTGAGCTATTTGAACCAAATGCACAATAATCCAAAGGCCAACAGAGAAAAATCACTGTGCATGTGCCAGAGTTTTCACGTACAGATAAAGTAATAGTATACCTGTATTGACTCTAAAAATACTGCATGTAGTCAGTAAGAAGTGAAAGACTACAAAATAAAACCTTCCTTCAAGGAACAACTTGCCATCAGTCCTTAATCCTGCAGAAGATCTGCAAAAACTGAGAATATTTTGCTTGAGTAAACAGAATTTTAATTGAGCATAAACAAGTGAACAGCAGGCATGTGATTTCCATAAGTATGCATGATTGGAAGGAATAAAGACTTAAAAATCTGGGGCCATGAAACCAATTTCAATTTTTTTAAGTCTTCTGGTTTAAAAAAGGTAGCATGTACATAGAAGGCTCTTTTCATTACAAACAGATTCTTTAGAACAAATTGCCAGTGACAAATCACCATTTATAAGAACTGTTTCCAATAAGGTAGAAGTTATCTAGCATGGCACTAAAGAATACATTTAATTTTAAGCATGCTTACAGTTTTATTAGAGCCAATGGCTTTTTCCATGCTTAAAGCCAAGCATATGCTCGAGTACTCTGGTGAGACAAAAGCTTACAAGTTTGTTGTTTAGAATGCAAAGCGAGGCTTTTTATCCCAAACCACATTTTCTTGCATGTAATCAGCCACGGTGATGTCACCATAGTTTCCAATTCATTTCAGGGCACACTCATCATTTATTAGGACCCAGATGGTGCTCTCTTTCTCTGGCTTCTAAAGAATATGCCCAAATATTAAAACAGACTTGGCTATCTGCCTCTTATCCTGTTCTTACACTCTGCATTGCCACAGTAAAAATAACAGTAACCTTTGATCTAATCTGGAAATCTTCTCTAATTCATACACAAGATTTGGCAACATCAAGTACAGTCAACCCACTCGAAACCAGAGAACCTGATAGGCATAAATACAGCACGTTAATCACGATATATCGGGAACAAGCAATCCACAAAACAGTCGAAAGAATAAAAGCAGCAACAATTTTTCGAGTAACAAAATACGGGACCTTGACTGTACTTGATGGCTGTGTGTGTTTTTGTGGAACTGTAAGGATTATTCAAAAGCTTAACCGGCAATTAGCAAACACACACACTGATTTGTAAGGCAAATAAAGAGCATGAGAATGACAGGATCTGTCATAACAGCAACAGCTTTCAACACCACAAGTTTGCATTGTGCTGACAGCTCACGGTGTTTTCACCCATGGGCAGCGCACAATATTTGGTCTCCAAAAAGTTCTGAAGATTATTTACCATCCCTGCAGCTGTGGAGCAAGTGGAAAGCAACCTCCACAGAGGCCCAACAGAGCAATAAGCTGTGGTGATATTCTGTAAAAATGTCCTAAGGTAAAATAATGCCACATTTGTCCAGCAGATCTTGACAAAACATTCTTGAGTGTGCAGCTAATTCGGACGCAGGTGCACATGATGTTCAACAGTCCTGAGTCACACATCTTCCTTCCCAAGCTTAGAGACTCACGCAAAGCACACTGACACTGGAAAAATCACACATCACGTGCATCCTAATGTGACCAAATCCAAATGGGGTGGGGGGAGGCTTGGAGGGGAAGGAAGGAAGGTTAGTGAGAAGTAATGTTCCCAAATGAGAACTACTTCACTATTTAACTGTCAGTACCTACTCCTATTTAACAACTAATGCATGTTGTAAGAAAATAGGGCAAGAAGAATGTATTTTAAGCAGTCTTCTTGACTTGAAAACAGGTCAATAATTGCATGCACATATTGGTAAAGAAACCACTTTGGAACGAAGATCAATCCAGAAAACTCATTTTAGAACTACATTTAAATATCAGAAAAACAGGGATTTGACTAAATAAGATTTTAAAACATCCACTAGGTTAGCTCCTAAACTTTTTTTTAATACTAAGCAAGAGCTAGTAATTTTGGAGATAATAACACTAGACATTTGCACTCCAATAAACACAATAAAGCACATAATTCTTAATTAGTATATGCTGCTAAATAAATGAAAACAACATTAAAATCATAACAATAAAGTTAAGTAAATAAAAATTCTGTCAGTCCAGAAACAAAACACCGTAAAACATACATAAAGCACACATTAATCAGGTATGGATGGTGAAGAGACTGCTGTTCAGCTAAGGAAAATGACTTTTTATAGCCCATTCCCTTTGTAGTAACGGAGCCTGGGTCCTCCTACATCTCAGACTCTCCAAAGGCAGCTGTAGAAGAGCTGCTGTCTCCCCACATCCAGAAACTCAGGCTTGCTCACACCCCAAACTTTGCAACGCTTCCTGGCATCTGGCTGGTTCCAGGAAATTCAGGCTGTGCCCCGTGGTGCTATCACGCTCTGTATCTGTATGATGCATAACTTGAAATTACTGGGTATGTTCAATACTTTCAAAGCCACAGCTTGAGAATAAGCTTGAAAACACCAGCAACAACAACCCTGGCCTTACCTGCAGGATCTTGTACTGTCATTTCCTTACGCTTTGCCTTCAGCTTGTCTTTAACCCACGGGAACTCCTGTAAGGACTCCAAGAATGCATCAAAAGCTTTAGGTCCTCTCGTAGGGAGAATGTCAAGGAGCATCATGGTTTTCCTTTGACTTGTGGTTTGGGATTTTATCTCTTGAACGTGACTGTCTGTGAGAATCCCTTCTTGGTAGAGATACTGAATAACCAGTCCATCCACCAGCACCTCCGTACAGAGCTCCAGGCGCAGGGAGCGTAAAAGCTGCTTGTCTCTGGCATCCATCTGGCAACCTAGAGCACGAGTAAAGGGCAAGGCATGGAGATTAAAATACAACCCTGAACACCCAGAAGTGATGTCTGATACCCAAAAACCTTTAGAAAAAAAAATGCCAGACTCAGAATCACCAACCTGGGAAAACTGCTCATGGTCCCCACCATCTTCTCTCTGCTCAGATTACGCTGTCTGACAAGCTAAAAGGCAGCCACTTCTGGGAAATATTAAAGAGAACCTTTGGCATTGTGAAGACCAGTGCTTGGTTGGAGCAAAAACCTTGCCAAAACACTCCACTCGCTAACTGGTCAAGGTCCACACCAAAGCAGCTGGCATGGTTGCCAGTCCAAAAAATACTCTATCCCCAGAAATTTAAAGAGATGTCACACGACCTGTCCCCAGCGTCTAAGACGTGACGGCTGCTCCGTTGCTGCCGCAGTGCAGCAGCAGCAGGATGGTGAGGCACAGCGCAGCCAGCCGGCAGCAGAGCCAGCAGGTAGCCCTGGCCTGCGCAAGACATTTTACTTGTAGCCAGGATGGAAACGGACCTCAAGCAGCAGGTTGCCCTCTCCCCTCGCTCATCCTGGAGGGCTGTTCGCGAAATCGACAGATCTGATGGTGAGATATCTTCCCCAAATTTCCATCTTAAATTTATTCATCTTCTATTTATAGGCGTTTTTGCTGCCAATACTGTTCTTTAGCTTAGACAGCTCCTCTCCCTCGCTGGTATTTGCCCTTCTAATGTGTTTATAGGAAGCAGTCGGGTGCCGTCTGCCAGCTTCTATTTCACTTGACTAACACTCTGACTAGACAAAAGCTGGAAAAGATGCATTTTATAGCCACTCTACAGAAGACGAATCAAGGTCCAGAGAGACCAAGCAGCTCATCCAAGATCACATCAGGACTCAGTGCCAGAGCTAGGAACTGAATCAAGATGTCTAGTCTAGTCCTTAATGACAAACATATCCCCAGGACCATTAATGGCACTTGAAAAGGAAAATTACTTAGTAATACAATTAAATACTTTCTCATGACTAAATCATGAAGTCAAAAAAAAAAAGTAGGCAGGTGTTGAATGTGATTACTAAGAGATTTTCTAGTGATTAAACCAGAAGCTGCTGTACTGACAGCCTGACCTTGCAGGAACTGCACTTCATTCAGCTTAAGGACACAGGGAGAGATCAAGGTTCTCAAAGCTTTTGTAAGAGACCTAAAGTCTTTATATTGTCAGAGATACCTACTGACTCCCAAGACCCCATGAAAGACAAGCCTACACGGCCTGATTGTTGAAATTTAGGGCAGGTAATCAACAGAACATATAGGCACACAAATGGCATTCTGGACAGAATGCAAGAGCCTACAGCCAAAAAAAAGAGACTGGAAAACCCCATCTGTGGCTCCTCCTGATAAAGGCACTTTCTGAAAATGCTTTCCCTGAGTGCTGAAAGCAATGCTGGATGGCAGCTTCCCAGGAGGTCACCCAGTGTGTTTTTCTGTGCTGACCTGAATTTTGAGGTGCTCACCTTCTGTCTGGGGTCATCTCGGAATTGAACAGCAGCTCTCCTGGCACATGTCCTTTAAAAGGCCTGGTTTGCTAGGCATAGCTCAAACACCAAACTCCGACACAGGGTGAGATGACAGTGAAAGCAAGGAGACAGAAAAACAGTAGGCAAAAAAAAGAGAACTGGGTATCTCATCTGACATTAGGATACTCACTTTAAATGGGTGAAACTCAAGATTCCAGTCTCTAACATGAGCTCCTTTTGGAGGCACTTACCAGACTACAGCAAAACCAGAAAAAATAAAATCTAAAAGCAGATCCCTGCAATTTCTCCCTTCCAGAACTCCCTGTCTGCCTGCGAGCTCACCAAAGTGCTTGCAGAGTTCAAGCCCGGCACCCAGCCACAGCTCAGACAGCATTACCTAAACCCAGGCAGGAAACTCTTTCCAACGCTACGTAACCCTCCTGCTTCACCCTTGGCATGGGCCACCCAAAGTCCCAGCCCGAGAGCCTCACCCAGGTACTGAGGGAGGAGAAACGAGGTCCCCGGCCACTGCCTAACATGCTCCCAGCTCCCCTTCCTTGTGGCCAATGCTTCTCAAGCGTAAGCCTGTTGTTCACAGCGTCCCAGTTCACACCTTCACGCGCCGGGCAATGCCTGCTGAGTTATGAAAGCAGAGTGGAAATTTCTGCTGAAAAAGGCGTTTGGCCCACGGGCTTCAGAGCGAGCCCAGCCCAGGTGTTAAAGCCTGCGGGGCTGCTCAACGCCAAGGCCAGCGGCCCAGCACACCTTCCAGGATGCGGCGTTTTTGATATTTAGGGTCTTTTGAAAGATTAAGTGCTTCTTGATGTGTGTTTGCCACGAGGAGGAAGTGTCTGACTCAGGAACCGCAGGGCCAGATAGGGCGGCGTTATCGGGCTTTCGGTGCACCTAAGTGTAGGGCCGGAGTTTAATGCGCAAGGGAAAGGGCTCCGGCTAACATCAATCACCGGCTGCCTCCACAGCCCCACAGCCAGCTCCCGGGTGCATTTCCTCTGGGGACTGCAGGTGCTGGGGGGCACACGGGAGGGACGCGAGCCCAGTGTGGCCAGGCGAGGACACTGCTCACACCTCCCCTGCACACCCCTACGGACCGCGGAGCCCCGGGGCTTACGGCAGGGCCACATTTACCACACACACCTGCCGAGTACGCGGGCCGCGCACAGCCCCCGCCCCGTCCCCGCACCTCACGCACCCCCCGGGGCCGCCAGCCCCAAACCTGCCCCCCCCGACCCCGGCGGCCCCCCCCTGCCCAGCAGCGCCGCGCTGCCGGTGCCTCCCCGCCGGCTGCCGCTCGCCGCCCGGCACAGCACAGCACAGCACGGCACGGCAGGGCAGGGCAGGGCAGGGCAGGACAGGGCCACGGCCCGGCCCCGCGGCGGCGGGGGGAGCCCCGCGCCCCCGCCCCGCCCCGTACTTACGGGAGGGCAGCGGGGAGCTACCGGCGGCGCCCCCGCCGGGCCCGCTCGGCCGCCACCATCTTTGGTGAGGGCTCCGCCGGAAGACGCCGCCGCCACCGCCGCCGCCTCCCTTCGCCGCGGGCCGGCCGGGGAAAGGGCGGGGGGGGCGCCGCCGCCGCCATGTCGGTTGTGGGCAGCGCGGCGGGCGGGAGGGAGGCGAGGCGGGGAGGGGAGCCCGGCCCCGGGGGCGGCCGGAGGCTGAGGGGGGACGGGACGGGACGGGACGGGACGGGACCGGGGATCAGGGATCAGGGCTCAGGGCTCCGGCAGGACCCGGCCACCGACTGCTGGGGTGTGGGCAGCGCCGGGGGGGGGTCTGCGGGGCGGCACCTGAGCGGCGGGGTGTGTGTGTGTGAGAGTGTGTGTGTGTGTGTGTGAGTGTGTGTGTGTGTGTGTGTGTGTGTGTCAGGTAATAAACTTCGTGCGAGGGCTCTGGGAGGCTTTTAAATGGTTGTATGTTATTCAATAATCGCTGGATTATATCTTATTGAATATTGGATAGGTTGTATTCGATAGGTTACGTCTCATTAAATAATTGATGGGCTATGCCTTATCCAATAACTGGTATATTACATCTTACTCAATAATTGATGGGCTATATCTTACTCCAGTGCATCCATTAAGCCAAGGTAAATGCTTTTGTCCCGGGCACACGTTGGTCTTCTAGGAAGACCGGCTCTGAACCTGTGTGCTGTGTCCGTAGTGCACGCAGCGCACTGTCAGCGGTAACAAACGGTGCTGTGGTAGCCAAAGTGCAGCCCTTAAACCTTCATGTCATGGGCAGTTTGTATCGCTGGCTGCGAGAAAATACATTTGTAAACGATACGAGCTGACACCAGGGAGCAGGGAGCACCGCAGTTGATCTATAAGATCATCCCTCAGCACAGGCTGCATCACTACAGATAGTTTGCTTTCTTAACTTACTGCCTCTCTGACTGACAAGGTTTGGATTTTTTTCTTTCCCCATTTCTAGTCACTATCTAAGGAACTGTGTTATCTCTAGACCTGGAGTGACCAAACTTGGAGACTTGAGATGTCACCTGGCAGCCGTACTTAATTGCCAATACCGCACCTACATTTTAAACCAGAAAATGCAAGCAGTTACATCACTTGCATTTACTCCGTCTTTTTGCCAGATGAGGCAGCTACGATTATTTGTTTTATACTGTCCAAGAATATCTTAGAAAGTTAGCAAAACATATGGATATGCATGGAGCAACTCCGGTTCCCACTCACATAAATAGCCGCAGCCTCGTTGTCTTTAGTGCAGCCAGCATTAGTCACGTCTTTGCTTGCAGTCTAAACATGCAAAGAAGGAGAGTGGTGAAAGGAAACAGATAAGCCTCAGAAGGAAGAGGATAGCAGCAGAGGTCCAAGTCTCATTAAAGGGAAAATCTGGTGTTTCCTTTTCCTTCCACTGGTTTGTAAGTGATGGGATCTGTAAATGCACTACCAGTGGTTCAGGTTGATCAAGGGATACAAGCCAGGTGTACTGCTGCTACAGAGCAAGGATGCACACAGGTAAACACCTCAAGTCCAAGGAGACAAGCTCTTCAACTTTTTGTTTCAGTTCTGCTTGGGTTCAGCTCTGTCCACAGTTCCTCCAAGTCTGGTCCAAGTTCAACAAAACTTCAAAAGAATGGTTCGGTTCCATTCCAGTTTTAGGGGAAAAAAATACTTGAGCCAGGTTGGGTTCAGCTCCATTCCCCGCTATCTCTGCTCAGATCTGAACACTAAACTTGGCTAAACATGCAGACTACAGAAGTATTTCCTAGCCTGTGTAGATCAATGGGCCACTGTCAATCCTGCACATCAGACTTTGGACCTAAAACTTTGTTCACTGTGGTTCTGCATAGGGGGGAATCACCAGGGGGCTTCAGGCCATGCTTCTGTGGACTGCTGAATCAGCGTAGTGAGCCCAAACCTGTGGGAGCCAGGCTAAGTGGCATCTCTTCTGACAACACTATTCTTTTTTACACGTGTCTTACTCCAGATCAGAATGCCACATTTTTAAATTTACCACATACATTTTAAAGCTCACTTAAAAATCCCAAATCTTTTTAGAAACTCTGTTCAAGTATAATAAGCTTATTAAATAAAAAAAAAAAAAAAAAAAAGCTTTTAAGAGGATCCTCTATGCTAATTAGAGTTAAGCTCCATCGTAGCATGTATGAATTTTCTTTGTTTTCTGCATACTAATTTGTTTCTGCTGATAACGAGAGCCAAACTGTGTTTTTAAAACTCGTGCAACCAGATTTAATCTATTAGGACTATGCTGTTTCCAATTGTCTGTAGGACAGCATTCCAACTTTATGGACAAAAGAAAAGAAATATGAGTCCCTAGATTTGTTTATTAAAAACACATCTAATTGGCTAAATCTCCCACAAAACCTCCGAAATGAAGATGGAAAAAAGAAACATATATTATAGGGCTGACTGTCGTCTTTGGAAGGACGAGCACAGAACGTTTCTGACTGTGATGCATCTCAAGAGCACTGTTAAAATAGGAGCCAGGGCGGCCCAAGCTCTGTGGCCTGAGAGGCAGAAGAGGGTTCTGTGAGGCACTGCCACCCACCGCCTGTGCAGGCAGCGCTCCCTGCCCTTCCTCCCCCATCCTCTTCCTCCCCATCCTCTTCCTCACCCTCACCCCGCTGCATGACCCTCCCAAATGCCAGCATCTTGTCCTGCGCCAGCCACCGAAGGCCAGGCTGGTGCCCGGCGGGGCGCTGGGGGCAGCGGCAGCGCCTCACCTCCCTGCCGGCACCTGCAGCTCCTCGCTGCTGCGAGGGGGTGCCAGGCTGGCCCCACACCTCTTCCTAAGTTCCCCCTCATTGAAATGGTAAAGGCTTCGAATTAATGCACTTCAAAGAGAGCAGTGGGCATAAAACGGAGGTGACACGTCACAGAAGTTGTTAAAAGTGTTGTTTTATTAAAAGGCACATCCAGCATGGAGGTGAAATGTAGCACAGAAAGTTTCAAACCATTAAAGCACTGGGGTCTGAAGCGACCGCGTAGTGCCCATACATTTACATTCGTTTCGATAAGAAAAAAAGCGTTTGTTAGCAGTACTGCCTTAACAGCTCCTAGTGCCGCTTGGTGCTAACAATCCCTGGCCAAAAGCTGTACGTGGGATAGCTCTGAGAAAAGACGCAGGCATCAAATGTGAAACCGGCACATTCATTCCAGAGAAAAGGAACCTCTGCAGTGAATCGGAATAAAAAACCTGCGATGCATATTTGCAAAATGTGACTCAGTATTTCTCCTGCAAGGAATTTTTAGTCCATTTTCTTGAAGCATATGAATTAATGTAGTTCTCTGTTTTTGAAGTTTAATATAAAGATGCTTTCAGGAGACAGTTGGAAATACTGAAAGCCTCTAAGTAGTCCAGACTTTTGAAACTTTTTTTTTTCTTTTATGTAAAGCAAGCATTTTACTTATGGGAGAACAAAGAAATTAACAAATTATTCTGAAAATTAAATACTGACAAATAAGTAAACGGAATTTAAGATTCAAGCCTGAAACCCTATCATAAAATGAACTTCTTTTGTTTGCAAATTACAGCATATGAAATGAGTGTCTAGCATTTTGGATAAAGCCAGGGAGATTGTTTTTATTTGAGAGGAGAATAACTACTGATTTTTGTCATCCACTGCTTCTTTCCCAGGCTTTGAGCTGGACAAGCCCATATAGAGCACATCTATTTTTAAAGGCTCATACTTTCAGGTTAAGCATTTGACGAGCTAGTAATGATTCATGGAAAGTTTTTGCAGGTAGCCTATCCAAGGACTTGCCACTGCTCAGACTTCTTCCATATGTCCTGTTTCCAAACAAAAAAATACCCTTCGATTAACAGTCCTCGCACTCGATTTTCTTCCCTTTCAAAACGAAACCTGACGGGGGGCTGGCTCGGCCGCCTGAAGTGGGCACTGCATCTTCCATCGGGGGCCGTAAAGGAAACAGATGAGTTTCCAGAAAGCAGTTATCTTCTCGCTCTCAGTTTCTGCCTGCAGTACTTCAGCTCCCAGAGGAGCTGTGATGCCACTTCCACCGCAGTGGAGGCAGACAAGAAGCTGCCTTCCCTAACTTACTCTCTTCTCTCTGCTGAGCAAGGCAGCCACTCAGCGGTATCACCATCGCCGTGGCTTAAATGCTGTCAGTGGTAACTGAAAGGCAAGCAACTCCTCGCCCCACGCTGAAAAACTACGAAATGTTAAGCTCGCCTCCCGCTTTGTAGATATGGGAACTGCAACTAGTACAGGCTCAGTCACACTTAATATTGTTCTTCTGAAAAGCAGGCGAGGCAGCTAAAATTTCCATAAACACTACCAGCTGATCCCCAACTTCCCCTGCCCTGCAGACTGTCAATAAGCAATGCTCTAGGTGAGAAAAATGAGAGAAAAAAGCAACTGCCTGGTGTGGAGTTGGGGTGTCCAGAGGAACCCCTCCAGGCTGGGCATTGCCAGCGGGACAGACTGAGTGTGGGTGCAGAGCTGCAGCTCCGGGTTGGGGGCTGCAACCTGAAGAGGTACAATTAACTTCTAACGAAGCATTGTGAAAAGCGAGTTTACAGCTTTCAAATGTCCATCTCGCAGCTGTTTCTGCTACAATTCTGGTTACCAAGCCTGATCTAAAGTCTGAGAAACAATAACTTCAGTAAAGTAGAAAGAAGAATTTGCAGTGGGCTTTCAGTCTTTCCCACGTTTGCCGTACCTCTGCGTTGCCATTTGTTAACTGACAGTGCACCCAACTGCAGTCCTCAGCTACAAAACACCAATTATGTAGCAACTGGTCTGAAAACACAAGGTTTGACTTGCATAAACCCTGCCTGACGATGAAAAAGAAATTAAGGCAGGCACATTGAATTTGGGGATTTTTTTTTAATGTATTTTGTTCTGTGCAGCAAGCAACGCTGAGTTTCCTGAGTATTTCCTACTGCAACTCTTTTCAAGTAACTGCCAGCCTCTTTCTTATGCTAATCTAAGCAGCTTTTGCTCCTGCAGTTTTTTTCCTCCTTTGTGTCACAGAAAGTAATGATATTATTTTGGTATTTCAGTTCCTGGAGAGCTAGTGGCTCCAACTCTGGGGAAAAAGCAATACCAACAACAAGCAGTAATAAAATAAAAATAAAATAAAATATTAATAAAAGGGTGCAATTTTTTTTTATTATTATTTTTTTTAATAGGATTTAAGCAGAATAAAAGCCACAGTTTATCAAGGAGATTAAACAGAGTAATTCCTGTGCTGTGTTTTTACATTCCCATAGACTTTCTCAGAGGAACTGGCTACTTCGAGCCCCTAAAGATAACCTGATAAATAAACACGGTTAATCCCTCATCCCCTTGGCAACCCTGGGACCAGGACAGACTGGTTTTGCTATAAGCTTTTTTTTTTTTTTTTTTTTTTTTTCCCCTGAAGTTGAGTTATCTAGCCAGACTTTCTTTGTATGTGCTTTACAACCGTGTGCTGACACTTGCCTCCCCTCCCTCGACTTCTGATCTCTACCAGAGCACCATAGCCCCGTCTGCGCTCCTGCGGCTTAGCTCCTCGCACACATCTGCCAAGTGCCACCTCTGGCAGGAGCTGTCCCTCCTGCCCTCTGTCCCCGCTGTCAGAGCAGGGTCCCCATGTGCTGTGCCCTTCCCCGTCGCCTGCAGCGTGCCCCCCATCAGACGTGGTGTCCGGCCCCACTGCCCTTCGCAGCCCCGTAACAGCGGCACTGCCTTCCAGTGTCTTTGGCTGATCTTCAGCCCATTGTGGAAATGAGCCCGTTTGAGCAATACCGTGGCAAACCGCCATGGTGTTGTAAAGTGAGCTCGGGTCTGGGTGATCTGAAGTTATGTGTCAGAGGAATGCTGTTTCCAGGCACTTCCAGCCGTGCGAAGGGCTTAGCAGCATACTGGGACCTGCTGAGGTTAGCACTGAGGAAGAGGAGGTTTCCGGGAGATACCCCCGGAGCTCGTCATCCCCACCACCTTTTGCATACAGACCCCGCTAAGGAACTGCTAGCTATTCTGGAAATTGTATGCTTTACCTACTAAACCTTTCCTTTATTCCTGCAGTTTTCAGCTTTTTAATCCCCCCTCTGACAGAGAAGTTTCTTACAACTACTGAAAACTGATAACAGACACTTTAGCATCCCTCAAGCCGTTATTTGCTCCAGCAGTCACTTTGATACCTAGATTTATTTTAGTGATAGCAAAGTCAGCAGAGGTTTTGTTTTGCTTTACTTCAGATGACGGGTAGACCCACATCTGAAAGTCGCTTCTCGTTCCCGTCATGTGCTTGGGACGAAGAAGAACAAAGCAGTGACACAACTCAACTGACTTGCTGCTAAATCCTAAGCTTATATCCAAAGGAAAAGTCCATAGGAATTTTATGAGGGATACAAGAAAAAGCTCTTGAATAGAAAATGTGAGTAAATGGAGCTTTTCAATTACATGTGACAGGGTCATTCCCCCACGGGAGCACTTTTCTAAGACATGAGAGGTAACTAAGAAATAGGAATTCATGCAACCGCACAACGCTGTCCTTCCTATTGTAACGAGACTCTCTTTCTTAAGGTGATGAAATGTAGTGAGAGTCTCAGATCTCAGAGCCCTGCAGTTTTCAGTGAGGACTAAGTTCCAGACTGTTCTAGGATTTAAAAATAAACAACCCCCACCCCATATTCTGTGAACCATTTTTCTTCTTGCGAATAATTAGATATTGTTTATCTAGAATGTGGTTACATAAATTATAATTAGGACAATACTGAGGAGATCAGATTAAAATAAAATTGCTTCTAATGCGATGGGTGCAGCTGCTTGGTTGCATTCCCACTCTACCCACCCATCTTGTGCTTGAACCATTTTCTGTCCCTGGTGATAATACCAGTGCCAGGGAAATGCCCAGGCAGCTAAAATGGAAACATGGATCACATTTCTGCTGGGTTTAGTGCTCGGCTAAATCCAGCCACAAACTGCATTTTCAGCATCCATCTTGGGAAAAAAAAAAAAAAATAAAAATTAATCATCCACTTTTACGATTGTGGGATTCTCAGCTTTTGTTTAATTAAAACAAAGATGTTTTCAGAAACTAACATTCCAGACTTAGACTGTAAAATCTGAAACCTCAAGACTTAAAAGTGGAAAACTAGACCAAGACATGGAGGAAAAAGAAAAATAAAAAATGTAAAAATTATTATAGTCCTTGTCATGATTTTTGGTTGACTCACAGGTGTTGAACCTGTGAGACTGACTTCACTGAACACTCCATACTAGCAATTCAGGATGACAAACATCAGTTAGAAGTCATTTTGGGAATCTGAAGGGACGGCAATTTAAAAGCTAGTGCTGTGAGCAAGCCACAGCGACATCCATAAAGTCAAAAATAAATTTAAAAACAACAATTAAAAAAAAAGCACTGCACCTTTCTTTAAAATGTTTGGACCACATGATTGTGCCTGAAAATTCATGGGGTCCACATGCAAGATTTTTTCACCCCTGTAATCTTAATCATGTGCTATCCCTGCATTTTTTGTACCAGAGCCCTCATCCCTCCGTGCTGCGTTAGGGTGAAGCCGAGCTTGCAGCGAGCTCCAGTAAAGCTCGGTTTTACGAGTGTAATGCATCAGCCCTGGGGCTGGCATCCTAATGAGGACAAGAGCTCTGCTTTCATACAAAGAGGACTAGTTCCCCCTCCAGTCTGTTCAAAATATTGTTCGTAGCTCCGAGCACAGCCCGGCTGCAGCCCCTGCTTCTCCCTGACCGTACCAACCTCGAGGGACGCCGTACCCGGCGGGAGGCTGCCCGTCCCCTGCCTCGATGCTGCAGCCTGGGGTTCCCCGCTGATTCTTGGTGCTTGTTGCCCCCTCTCACCCTGCTATCTTCAGCCTGTGGTTCGCCCACACGCATTTTGGGGCACCCCAGAGGCCCCCGAGCAGCGCTGCGTCTGCCCCGTGTCTGCCGAGGGCAGGCCTGGCCTCAGCTCACCCGCAGCAGCTGCGTGGAGAGCCCTGTGTCTGCCCCGTCGCCTCTGGCACCCGATGGGTGCCTCCTCTCCAGCTGCTTCTTCCATCGGTGGTCTCACTGCCAACCCCTAGGCTGGGGGGGCTGCTTGGGAAGGAGCTCGGCTCGCCACCACGGGTGGCTAACAGAGGTGACTTGTCCTGTCCAGCAGCTACCTCATCGCCGGGTGAGGGACAAGAGCTGTAGGAAAGCAGATTTGCCAAGTGATGTGCTCCCAGGAATTCAGCTCCTTCCCTGCTCGGCCCGCAGGACAGGCTGCTCAGCACGGCGGTGGCACGGGCACGTCCAGCCAGGGCTCTGCTGGGGTAGGAAGCGGAGGGTGGAATCCGTCCAGCACGGCTGCATTTTGGCACGGCGTGGGAAAAAATTATGTAACAAAAGCTTTTGTTTTGTGTTTCAGGAGAAAACTGCCCCCAGCCCAACTCTACACGACTGCTCGCATGAAATTCGGGGAGAGAGAATGGCAGCCGAGGAGGAGGAGGCAGAAAAGGCACCTTTCCTGCAGGGGCAGCAATGCTGGCATACCAAGCGTTCGCCAAGGGGCCCAGGGACCATCACCTTGGCATCCTCCCTGTCTCAGCAGCCGTGCCACTCAGTTCTGCCTATGCAACTGGGACAGCCCGAGTGCACGATGCTGGAAATCCCAGTGCCATCAGACGTGGGGCAGCACCCCAGGGTGAGGAGAGGGACACAGCACCTGGGTAGCACCACCGAGCGGCTAAGTCACAGGGAAGACAAGATCGGTTTGTGTTGTTGCTATTTCAGCCTGGGCAGGGCTAGACTACAGCAAGTCTTGACAGCCCTCCTTGTTCAAACACAAGTCTATTTGCTTTAATTAAGGTAAGCTAGGGAAAGAGTTAAAACTATGAAATTGTTGACTGAGAATGCATCTATGCCCTACTTTCCCTCTGTACTGCTCTCGTAGTACCCCCACCCTGGATATTTCTTCTATTAAATACTTTACATTTAGAGAGAGGAATGGGTACTGAGGGTCTCAGCCCCATCTTCCCATCTGGGGGACTGCTGTAATGCACAAAGCAATGTCCCAGTGCTAATATGTAACCACAGAAATTCGGCAGGCAGCCTCCAAACCACTAATCTGAGCATAAACCAGCTCTACCTCTGAGCAGCCCCACAAAGGCAAAGCCGGGGTATTCACCATCACCGGCCCAGGTACGCTTGTTGAAGTGTTAGCTGGGAAATGCTACAGGTTCTTAATGTCGTTGTCTCCTGAATGGTAGCAAATCCATACGTACAACGATCGAGATAGGTGTGCAATCTGATTGCTTTTATTGAGTAATAGTCTGGTAGCTACAATGGTGAATTAGAAGAAAAAAAAAGGGAAAAAAAAAAAAAAACACAAAAAACCAATCCCTCAAAAAAAAAAAATCCAGATTTCCCCATATTTTGGGAAAGAAGCTGAAGAAAACATTCTACACTGTAGAAGACAGCCGTAACTGCTGATATCCATGCTTTGACATCAGAACCGAGCAGCTGCAGTTCTGCAGCGTGGAGTCCTGAAGCCTCAACCAAACGAGGCTTAGCAGTAATAGCATGGATATATCACCACCAGGAAGATGTTAACATGTTAACAAAGATTCTGGGATACCAATCTGGTATAATCAGCAACATACTGGGTTCCTATGAAAGATGTGGCATTTCTCCTTAGTATCAGCTTTTAGAGAACTTTGAAAAACAATGTTTTAAAGTGATTGCTTTCAGTTCCCCTTTCCTTGCAGAAAAGCACAGAAATTAGAGTTCAATAAAAACTGAATGGATGATCGCTTTTTTTGACTGGATTTGATTAGTTGCATAACTTTGGCAAGATTATCACAGTGTGATCCAGTTAAGCTCTCAGGATTATATGAACACCAGCACCAAATGAATCTCGGAATCAGACCACTGACAACTTCCGCGCTCTCGTACGTCTCTGACCACTTTTGCGGTCTCTCCCTGTCCCACCGCTCCAGTTAGCACTTTGCAGTTAGTGCAGCTTTTATGCCGTCGACAAAGCAACACGATCCGGAGGGGTTCCTGGCTTCTCGCCCCTCGCAAGGACAGCACGCCTCCTTGCCGAACCCCCGAGGATGCAGGCTGGGATTATCCTACATAAAGTCTCCCTTTGTGGCATCTGAAATAAAAGCCTTTCCCCAGAACTGCCACTGTTTTGATAGTGAATTCCATGCTGAGCCGTGCAACCGGTTACTCAGTTCTTTGGCTGATTTTAAGAATTGCATTTAAAAGTTACTCTGCGTTGGAGGCATTGAGAAAAGATAGCTATACCTGGTACCGGTACTCTTTCAAGTACTCTTTTAGTCTGGTTGGCAAGGGCAGCTCCCAGATCTGGTTTGTGCACTTGTTTATCGTTATCCGGCAGCGGTGTTGCAGGGATGGAGCCTGACGTGTAGAGAGGCTTGTTCAAGTAAAGATGAACCGTCCCGTTCGAGGGCGTTTCGGTTCTGTCCTTGCACATGAGCACGTAGTACTCGATCAGATGCACCACGCTGTTGAACTGCTTCAGCCGGGACCTGACGCAGGTGATGGAGTCCAGCCGAAACTTGCCGTCCTGGTACTCGATGCGTAGGTTGGTCGGTCCCGCTGATGTCTTTACCGAAATAGTCAGCAGGTACTCTGAATGCGAGCTGTCCCGAACCAAAAAAGTCCCTTCGGGGGCATCCTGTAACCTCTCCTTGGCTTCAGCAACGCTCATGCTGCCCCAGTACCATCCTGTCACGAGAGCAGAGAAAGCAGAGTTTTACTTCTTGCCGGCTGCCTGTTCGTTTCAGAGCCGCCTGCTCTTTGCCTGGCGGAGCCGCAGCACCCGTTCCTTTTGGGGCGAGCAGCCCGGGGTCCCGCCGGCACGGAGCCTTCGTGCTGGCTGTCGGCAGCGATCCTCCTGCCGGTGCCTCCGCTCCCCGCCCGGCTGGGATCGGGGCGTGCGCCCCGCACCGGGACGGGCTTCTGGGCACGGAGGGGCGGCAGAGCCGCTTCTCCCGCTGCCGGCGGGGACGCGACGATGCCAGCCCCGTCCCCGCGGCCCCCTCTCCCGGCGGACAGAGCTGCGGGTACCGGGGGTGCCCCCGGCCCCGCTCCCCCCTCCGCCGCCCCGGCCTCCCCCTCCCGGCGCTCCGGGCGCCCGCCGGGGAGCGGCGCTGCCGCCGCTTTCGCTTCCCCCCGGCACCGCGGGGCCGAGCCCCCTCCGCGCCGCGCCGCCCCGCTCTTCCTCCTCCTCCTCCTCCTCCTCCTCCTCCTCCTCCTCCTCTTCCTCCCCCGGGGCCGCCCCGCTTACCTGCGCGCCGCAGCTCCTCCATGGCCGCGGCCAGCCGCGCCGCCTCCCGGGGCTCCTCGGCGACGGGCGCGGCCGCCACCGCCTCCCCGGGGCGCCCCCAGCGCTCCCGGGGACCCCCGGCGCTCTCCAGGGGCTCGGCGGAGCGCAGGGTCATGGGGGGGCGCCGGGCCGGGGGCGCCCGGGGGGCTCCGCCGCCGCGCTCAGCGCCGCGCAGGGGGCATGGCCCCGGTCCGGCCCCCGCCGCCGCCGCCTGCGAGCGGAGAGAGAGCGAGGTTAGCGGGGAGCGGCCCGCGGGGACCGCCCGGCACCCCCGGGGGGGGACCCGGCCCGAGGGACCTCTCCGCCGCCCCCCTCCCCGCCTCGGTGCCCGCCCGAAGCAGCCGCGCCCCGCGGCCCCGCACCCGCCAGGGGCAGCGGCGGGGATGCGGCGGGGAGGGGGCGACGGCTGCGGGACGCCCCCCGCGCCCCCCGCTCCGCCACATCCCCACGCGGGGACCAAAGCCCCGGCCCCGCGGGGCCACCGAGCCGGGCGGTGCCAGCGGGGGGCGAGGAGGGGCCGGTCCCACGCGGCCCGGGGGGCTCGCAGCCCCCTCGCCCTGCCTCCCCTCTACCTAGCGGGCGCACCGGCCGCCGGTCTGACGGCGGGGCCGCTGCCTCCCATCCCCGCAAGTTCCCCGCGGCGCAGCTCGGCAACTTTTCCCAGCGAAACTTCGCCGGCTCCTGCCGCTGCGAGCCCCCGGTCCGTGCCCGCCGCCCCCCGCCCCTCCCGCGGCGCCCCCTCGGAGCCGCCCCGGGGACCGGGCGCCGCCGCCTCGCAGGTGCGGCCGCCGCCGCCCCGGGATCCCCGGGGGCAGCGGGACCGAGCCCGGCCACCTTTCCCCTTCCCCGTCCTCGGGGGAGCGCGGCGGGGCCGCACGGGGCGCGGGGGGGCCGTCGGGGAAGGCGCGGCCCGGCGGCGGGGCTCGGGGAGCGCGGGGCACGGCACTCACCGGGGCTCGGCGGGACGGGACGGGACGGGGCTGCTGCTGCCGCTGCTGCCGCTGCTGCCGCTGCTGCTGCCGGTGCTGCCGGTGCTGCCGGTGCCCCCGGAGGCGGGGCGGTCGGGTCGCTGCGGCCGCCGGCGGTGTCAAGGGAGCGGCGGCATCGCGGTGCGGGGCGCAGGCGGACAGACGGACGGGCAGACGGACGGACGGACGGACGGGCAGGCGGGCGGGCGGGCGGGCGGCTGCCGCTGCGAGAGCAGCAGCAGCAGCAGCAGGAGGAGGAGGAGGAGGAGGAGGAGGGAGGAGGCAGCAGCAGGAGGAGGAGGAGGATGGTCCTTGTGGGGAAACAGCCCCCGCCCGCCCGCCCGCCCCCCTCCTCGCCGGGAGCGGGCAGGAGCGAGCGGTCCGTGCCGCCTTTGATTCGGAGGCGCGGGCATCCTCCCCCCGGCCGCCCCCCCGCCCGGGCAGGCTCCATACAAAGGCTGCTTTCCAGGAACTTTCCAGGAACCGCATCATGTGACGGCCCCGCTCCGCCGCCGCCGCACCGCTCCCCGGCCGCGCCACCGGAGCCGCGGCACCGCCCGCCAGCGCCCCGCGCCCCCCCCGACGGCCCCCGACGGCCTCCGCGCTCCCCCCGCGCCCGGCCTCCGGGGCACCGGGGCCGCCTCCCGACCCCCCCCTCCTTCCTTCCACCCCCCCCCCCCACAGCCCAGGCCCCGCGACCCCACCGGGGGGGCCGGGGCCGGGCCGCGGAGCCGCCGCAGGTCAGTGCCCGGGGGGGCGGAGGGGGTGGGGGGGCGGCGGGGGGCGCCCCGCAGCCGCCGGGCACCTGAGCGCGGGGGGCGCAGCCGGGCCCCGAGCCGGGTTTCGGGAGCGGGAGGGGGCAGAAACAAAGCGAAAGCGGCCCCAGCCCGCCCCGGCCCCCGGCAGAAGGTCGGGAGCGCCCTCAAAGCCGGCGGCGGCGTTGGGAAGGCGACGTTTTCGGGTCGGGAGGGGGGGGAGATGAGGGGGGTTTGGGGGCCGAGGAGGTGGGAAGCAGTGCGAGGTCGTCCCCAAAAAAACGGGGGGGTGCGGGCCGGCCGCCGCCGGGGGGGAGGCAGCAAAGGGCGTGCGGAGCCGGGCGGCGGCGGCGGGGGGCTCGGGGCAGGGCAGGGGGCGAGCCCCGGCAGGCAGCGACAGCGACAGCGACAGCGACAGCCCCGCCGGTGCCTCGGCTCCGTGCCCCTAGTAAATCGTGGAGCCGAGCAGTTTTTTTTTTTTTTTTAATAACGAGGCCACCGAGGAGTTCTCCGAAAGGCTGCCGTGATTTTTCAGCGCGATTCTTGAGGATGTGGGTGAAGAGCGTCGGAGTTAATAATTCGCCTTTTTCTTAGAAATCGCCGCGGAGTTCGGTAGCTGAAGCGATTCCTCTGCTGGGGAAAAAAAAAATAATTCTTTGTTAAGTGAACTGGTCAGCGTGGTTTCGTCTGCTTGTCGTGTCTGGGTGCTTTCGAATTGAATTTGTTCTGTTTATGAAAAAAAGGTGGCTTTAAGCACCGACAACAAAGCAGGTTTAAAATGGGGGCTGAAAGGCAAACACGGTCTTTCTTACTTAAGCATTCTCAGAAATGGCTTAAAACAACACAGGTCCTGAAGGTCAGTTTTGTCCTTGTTTTCGTCGGGGCAGTTCAGAGAGCCTCGGGTCCGGCTGCCAGTCGCTCTTGGGGAATGCCCACTGGCTTCTCCCCGGGTAGAAGTGAGGAGGGGACAGAACAGGTCCGGGTCCTCTGCGATTTAGTTAACACTTCTGCTCCCGGTGATGAGAGACCTTGCAAAAAGTCTGATTGACTTTTTTCAAAACTGCATTGGCTTCGTTATGTCCAAAACATTTTTTTTTTAATGGAATACCGATTTATTTTTATTGCTAAAATCATTCTCCATATGCATATGCATCTACAGATCTTTTTCTCCAAAATATATAACTTTGCTACAACAGTTCTCAAATTAGGAATCTTCCCTTAAAGTTCACAAATTCATCTCAGAGAAATGCAGTGCATCTCGTCCCGATCCAGAGCTGCTTTTCGCAGCTGTTGTAGTCCTCTTTTCCTATGTTATTTATTAATGACATTTTTTAACGTGGATAGGATCTCAGGACTTTCTTTGCTTTTGCTGTTTATTCGTCGCTTGAAGTCATAATAATTTGTTTCTAAAACCACAGCTGGCTGCTAGAGGCACGGAGAGGAAGACTGTGATTTATGTGGCGAACGAGAAACAAGAACAGGAGAATGCAATAAATGTTTGTTACTTAAAACTTCAGATATTGTTATGAAAAAGGTAGAATAAAAATTAAAGAGGCAGTATATCAGCAGGATCTTTCCTAACTAGAGTTCTGTTAACTTTTCCATGGGAAGTTAATGTCTCTTAAAAATAATACTGGAGGTCTGATAAATTTGCAAGAGTAATGAAATTCAAACCTTAAAAGTGCAAATCGATCTTTAAATGATGCTTTTGGCACCTCGTAAGAGTAGCTCGGGGCAGAGCTGCCTTCATGCTCTGTGCTGAGACTCCCCCGAGCTGCAGAGGCTCGGTGGGAGAAGGGGACGTTTCACTTTTTCTTTCGGCACTGTTAGTTAGCTGCTTTCCTCCTCTGTCTGTGCGAGCCTCTCACACAGCCACAGGGGAGAAGAAAATAATTTTTTAGTGTAAGAAAAGGTGATTAAATTAAATTACTTTTGGGATTATGGGCCACATGTGGTGTATTAAACTACTTTAAGCTACTTTTTAGCTTCTTTGGCATTAGGATGTTTAATACATACTTGCTCTGCCTTTAGTGCTTTACTGGATAAGAAAGCAGAACGGAGCAGGAGAAAGGTGGGAAATAGAGAGAAAAAAGAGAAAAGGAGCAGCAGGGAGATCTCAGGCTCTGAAAACTAAGCTTTCCATCATGTAAACAAAATCAGGTTTTTAATTTACCATGTTACAAACAATAATTCTTCAAATTAGTAATATGTAGTAATATAAAGAGAGAATTACTTTGCATAGACAGGGATTTTAAATTCGTAAGTGCAACTCAAACCGAGTGCTTTATTTATTTCTGGTGGGCATGTTTTGGGGTAGCAGTCCTGGGACAAATACTGCCTGGATCTATAGGGATATGAATCTTCTGAGCCAGTTTTCGAGGCATTTCGTCCATCTGCGGATGAAAGGCACAAACTGCAGAAATCTCTGATTTCTTTTCCAGATCCTTTCTACCGTGCACGAGCATTTTGGTTTGGGCAGTGCATCATCCATATAGTAGAAATTTAAAATCAAGGTTTAGATTAATAGTGAAAAAATGAACATCAAGAATTCTTGAAAACCATAGCAGAATATGTTACATTTGTGACTTTTCTCAAATGTTCACAAAGAGAAAGGGAGGGACGAGTGGGTTTATTTTTCAGTTTTCCTTTAGGCAAAAATCCTTCTCATGACCAAGGAAGGAGGCAGCAGAACTTTCCCAACAGTGTGAAGTGCTTGTTGCTAGAAATGTTTTTCACTTTGTTCCTGAAAAGTATGCCAAATTTACTGGAGAGCTAGCACGCTGATTTATTTATATAATATGACGTGAGTAGAGAAGGGGGTAATGCATTTTTGGCCCGGCTGATTTTGCTGAATTTGCTTTGATTCGCTGAAAAGGCTTAAAGCTGATTTATTGAGCTACCTGAAAGAATAAAAGGGGCCTTTCCTTGCTCTCTGCATCCCTGTGCCCCGAAGATGCTGTGTAGCAAATCCATGACATGCTCTTTGGTCAGATAAAATTTGCTTCAGCTAAAAGGCTCGATATTGCTTATCAAACACGTCTGCTTATTGACCAGAGTTTGACAAGCGTTTACCCGAGCAGATGTAAATGGCAACATGTAACTGCCCTGCCCTGTGGTCACGGTGGTCAGGCAGCACGGCTAGGGGAGCAGGAATATCGAGCCTTTCCCTCCAGCAAATTAGAGCAAGTTAATTGTGGATACACACCACGAACGAAGTCTGCGATGAAAGCCCCTGGAGAATTTCTCAGCCTGCAGCCAGGAGCTGCTTGCTTCACAAAGAGTTCCTAAAACGTAGCAAATAGAGCAGAGAGAAAACAAGTATTTTCATAAATGGCATCACACGGCTCTTTCCAGCTGCCCAAGGAACAGAATGTTTTGATGAAATAAATTATAATGTATACCAAACAATTTTACTCTTAACCAGCTGCCACCTTATTTCCTGCCATTTCTATCCATTCGGATATGAATGCTTTATCTTTCTTAAGAATATACATTTGCCAAAGGAGAATAATCAAAAGTTCAGTGAGTGGTTTCTATGAATCAGAGGTGTTCTAAAAGAAATCCAGCACATGTAATTTACAAGCAAGCCATCAGGAGATAGCACTAAGAGCAGTACGCTGAAATAACATCCAGATTATTTTCTTTCAGAGACGGCTGAGAAAAAGAAGGATCATTTCCTTTGGTTCGGTGGGTAGGTAGATGAACAGTCAGCAGCAAGCTTGAAACTCTGAGAGGTGGCAGTTAAATCCTTCTCCTTATCATCACGTGCTTTATACTTCTTAAAACTTATGGTAGCATCCAGAGGCCTCAGCTGCATCGAGTAAGAAGTTCACTAGACACATTTAGGATCTTTAATTAAAAACATGTTATATGTAAAGCTTTTAGAGTTTCTCCAATTTACTATTTAAATTAAAAAAAAAAATTAAAAGAGTAACAAAAATATTTTGGCTTTACTTGTTAAGGATAACTGGCATGTGGTGGCACAGGGCACTAAGTATAAAAAAGGGGAATTTACACAGTCGTGTTCACCTTACCCTGTGTTAGACTTCTTTCATAAGCAAGTCTGCTCTGTCACGTTGTCCCGTGAATACGCAGTGTCGCCCTGACCAGGATGAGCTAAATATTGCTGGGAGTTACCTTGGGATGAGTTGTAAATATTCGTGCTTTGACAGCATTTTCTTCCCTGTTGGGCTTCCTTTTTATCAACACAATAGGCAAGACGACTGCTAGCAAGCACTATGTTGATAGCAGTCGTTTTCAACAACTGCTAGGAGAGTATTTGTTGTGAATCTTAAAATATAAATACTTAATACTTAAATATAAATACTTAAAATACTCAGACCACAGCCTGTGATGGTGTGGACTGTACTATTTGTTTTGCTTGTTTCTTGGCTGAGAAAGTGTGTATATGCCTGAGAAAGAATGCATAGGTGTGTACACAGACGCACACCTATGGGTACATGTGTTTGCACTCACCCTCTTTGAAGTTCTGGATGTTTGGAGAAACGTACACCCTTGCCTTTGTTTCAGAAAAACCCCAGAGATAGCACAGCTGAAAGCACTGTGAAATCTTGCATTCTTGTCCTAGCTGCTGCCAGAAAAAACAAGCCTTTTATACTTGAGGAGGCTCGAGATGTTTTCTTGCCAGTTGCGAGTCCTACTTCTCCGAGTAAGAGAGAGGAAGTAATGTCTGTGAAACAAGTTCTTTTTTTTTTTTTTTTCCTGACAGACAGCATGCAGGCAGCTCTCCTGGGCTCTGCCAATCTGTAAGTAATTAAAGTTCATTCGTTGGCAAGGAGTCATCTCTTGGACTAATAAGGAAAATTAAAATAGGTGGTGCAGGGGCTATCTCCAAAGGAGAGAGTTTTGAGTGCAAAGTAAAATGGGGCTGGAGAAGAAGCTGGGTTATATGCCTCTGAACAAACCGTCTCCCTTCAGAATAAGATTAATTTTAAATCACTGTTGTAGTTCTTGTATTGAAGATGGTTTAATTCACCCAGAGCTATTTGGCCCTGAGGATGAATTCCTACAATTAAGTGTTTATGATTGAAAGTGCTGCCATGGAAAGCAGACAGATGAATATCATTTCAGGAGTACTGCGAATAATTAAGAGAGTAGTAGAACCTTTTCCTGGGTTCAAGCCACTTTTAAATTTCAGGCTAAGGCTATCGTGGACTTCAGGGTAAGGCCTGATGTGTTGCTACACCTAGGGGTTTGAATAACTAGGTAATCGATGGGGATCAATGTGCTCCTACGATTTTAAACTTCTCACAGTCAGTGAAAATACTCATCCCGTGGTATGTGTGTATGGTGCTCACCTCAAATATGTTTTTCAGATCGGTGCATTTAGTGTTAGCATTGGGAGATGGACCTGACCTGCCTCTGATGCTGCTTTTGGCTGGTGAGCGAGGTGTCTGCTTTCCCTGCCACCTCACGGGGAGGCTGGGCACGGAGCATCCCACAGCTGGACCAGGCTGCGAGACCTGCTGGCTGCCAGCTGCCGACTTGTGCCCGTCCTCTGCCTCGGGAAGGCTCCAGGCATCTCGACTGGCATGCTAGGAGTCACCTGAAGCACAGGCCAGACGGACAGACCGCCGTTTGGGGGCTCAGCAGCGTTAACAGCAGGCTGCTCTCCCTCCTTGTGGACAGCACATGGGTCCGCAGCTGTCCTCCCCTGGCCGCCGCCTGCCTCTCCCCACGAGGGTTGCCCCTCCGCGAGCAGCTTTGGTGGCCAGAGCAGTGGCAGATAAAATCGGACGGGCTGCTTGAAGCAGTTTCTGTCTCCCCTCACCCTGTACCTGAGCCATCTGTGCTGCCTGCCGGCAGCAGGGATGGGAGATTAACTCTCGCATCTCCCCCCCGAGCAGCTCCAGCTCTCGGTGCGAGATGTGGGCACCATCCCCAGCTGTGGTGGGCTCAGTGCTGGGCCCTTGGGGAGGGGACACAGGGGGCTCATTCTGCCCTAGGGCTGGGGGCGAGGGCAGGAGCCCCGCCATCTGACTCCAATCCCGTGCCATATGCGACTCGAAGTCCTTAGATGCCCTCTGCTGCCATGTACCAGAATTAACAGATGGCTCTGCGTAACCAGACTCGGGTTTGCGGAGGCTCGTTATTATCTCCGTTTTTGTAAACGAACAGGGGAGGGGAAATAAAATCCGGAATTACCACAGAACATGCAAAGCTTTGTCAAGGTTAACCTCGGACTGGGTGTCTCTTCTGCCTTTCGGTGCCACTGTCCTGAACTTTAAAATTTTAGCATTACTTTTAGCTTTCTTTCCAGACCTCACTTCTCTGATAACTGATAGATAAGCAGGTCCCTCTGGGAATTAACTTGGCCCAGAGAGATGCCCGGCAGAGTTTTTCCCCGGCATTTCAGGCCCCATCGTGCTAAATGGAAGGAGGCTGTGAAACCTGCCGCTGTGGTCAGGCTTTGTTGGGGTGGGGGCTAAGGGATGCTTCAGCAATTGGCCGCCTCTTTTGCATGAGACAGGCCAGCGCCCAGGAGCCTGCATCTACATGGAACAAGATTGATGCTTCTGCCCCACATACTTGCCTGTGTTAGGGCAGTTTTTGTGTGCTGGCAGGCACGCAGCAATCCCAAATCGAACACAGCGAATCCTGGAGGGAATCCCTCGACAGGCTCCAAGAGTCGAGTGGTTTTGCCGTGCGTGAGCTTTCGCTGTGTTTGTTACACCAGCTCCCGTTCCCTCCCCTGAGGAAAACCCAGGCGAGCACTTCTAATTCCCCAGCCCGCTTCCTGACACAGATGTGAGTGAGCGGGTTTGATCTGTATGAAGTCTGCAGCCCCCGTTTGTGCACATTTCTGAAGCTGCCTTACTTCTCCCGAGGCCAGCCTGTTGTGCTGGAGGGGGCTGGCAGCGGCGCGCAGGCAGCACAGCGGAGCAGCAGCAGCTCTCCGGCAGCACGGGATGGGATGGGATGGACGGGATGGGATGGGATGGACGGGATGGGATGGGATGGGATGGATGGGATGGGATGGCACACATGACCGCAGGACCCGCTGCAGGTGGGCGAGGGGACGGGCGAGAGGGACGTGCAGGATCCTCTGCCAGGCTGGCGGAAAGAGAAAGCCAGCGTGCAGCGGCGGGGCGAGCTCTCACGCTACTGCTCCCTTTTCCCTCCCGCCCTCCCCTTTTAGCCACCCGGGTGTAGAATATGCTGCCTACATTGTTCAGGAGCTTTCTTTTTCTTTTTCCTTTTATTTTCTTTTTCTTTTTTCTTTTTCCAGAACACAATCTCCAGCTCACAGAAGTCCGCAGCAAAGTCTTGCTGTGAATGGGGTCTTTGTTCTGTGAGACTGTTTCTGAAGACTCCTGGCTCTCTGTTCGTCTTTGCATACGAGGCTGAAACACAAATTTGTCCAGATGCTTTTGTTTTCAGCACGTTCGCGTCCTCATAACTCCCCCTTTCTCACAGAAGTGCATGAAGCTGTCTGGTAGGTGTGCTGTATGTTGTCACGGTGGCTAACCTGCAAAGCTGTGCTGATTTATACCACCTGACAGCACGCTCCGTAGCCTGTATTTTTACTAAATCCATATTTTTCCAATTTCTTCATGCTCTTGCAGTGGCAGTTTTTTTCTATCCATCGGGGAGTGGGATCCTGCATCCAGAGTATGTAAATAACAGCTGTTTCCACTCAATTTGCATTTATATACTTAACACTTCAAAATAGATTATTTCTAGAAGCTTTCACAATCTGGTCACAATTCCTACTTAGTCAGAGGTACTGGGGAGATGTTAATGAAACCCCTCTGGACTAGCTGAGAGAAAAAAAAAAAAGATACAGCAGCAACAATGAAATTCCCTGAACAGGATGGATCGGTTATGCCTCTGATGGTCATACTTCAACAAGGAAAGGAAGGATCTCTTTTCATCTCCTTGGGCACATTCAGCATCATTTCTAAGCGGGTGACGGTTTTGCCAGGTAAGGAGAGAAACTGCCACAACTGTGCTGAACTGGTGGAGCATTTCTAGTGAAATTAATTTATTGTGTGGGTGTAGCCAAAAAGGAAAAATAGTGGCAAATCATTTATAGCGAAAAGTTTATTTGCCAGTGTCACAGCTATTTAAATGAATTAACCTATTACATCCTGAGAAGAAAAGCAGCTCTTTAATTTGTTTTGATATGACTACTTTCTTGTGTTGCTATTTCACTAGCCCTGAAATGAAAATACAGCATTTTAATTAAAAATTATAAAATGGAGATTTTAAGAAATTAATGTCCATTTATTATTTTTGTCCAGAAAAGTTTGAAAGCCTTTCACCTCTGTATTTTCGCAAATGCCTCAACCTGAACTATTTTGTTAGATTTCTTGGATCCTCTGAAGGCTGAGGATTATGGAATATTAATATTTAGTGACCTTCAGTTCATGTAATTTACTCTGATGTGGACTATTGGAAGAGATATTTGTTCCTAAACCCAGATTTATTATTATTATTATTATTATTATTATTATTATTATTATTATTATTATTATTATTTGTTATAGAAATGCACTTTTCTGTATCTGTAATTTTGTTTATCCAGAAGAAAAATACTTTTATGTTTACTGCAGTCCCAACTGGGGCATCTCTGGACTGGATCGGACGATGCTGAGGACTCAAGTTGTTTGGGGAGAGCAACGATTGTGTGTGTGAGTTGTTGCTTTTGCATGTCCCAACAAGCCTGTACCAGAGTCATTTAAACTACGCAAGAAGAACAAAGACGATCTGAGCTCAGGTTGTCCGTAAAAACAACATGGGTTCCAGCTACCTGGTTTCAGAGGGCATGTTTGTATTTCTAAATTTAAAAAACTTCCTGATGCCAGGAGGACTGACTTATATTCGTGATGGCTGGGGCTAGTTCCCTCTAGAGAGGGCTCCCACTTCCACACCCCTCAGCACTCCTTGGGCTCTCTGTGGTGCCCCCGCAGACCCAGCATGTAATTATGATTATTATTTTTTTTGTGTATCTTTTCAGTTCAAAGTATCTGAAATGATGTGCAACTGTCCTGCAGCCTGCTGTAACAGTGCTTTCCTAGAGTGAAAGCAAAGGTATGTATTGCACGTTCTGGGATGTGGTTAGGCTTGAGGGTGCACGGCCCACTTGGGTAGCTGGAAGATAGCACAGAGCGGAGTGAAACAAGACGTGGCCTTGGGACTCTCCCTGCGAGGGTGTGTGGCCTTAAAGAGGGCTGAAAGAGAACTGGGGAAGAAGGGAGGGTGAGCAGCGGCCCAGAGCTTGACCCGCAGCAGTAAGGACACGCTCAGAGGGGCCCAAGGTATCAGCCTGCTGCACTGTACCTGTACTCTGGTAAAGGAAAGGAGTTTTATAACAATACAAGGTGTTCTTGGAAAATGACAAATGAATTCATGCTTAAAGTCAGGATTAAAAATTACAAAATAACCAAAATTATGAAAAGAGATGTGAGCCTTTACAATACTGTATACTAGCACAAACAAATTGTATTATAATTAGATTTCAAGGAAAAATTTTCTCTGCCATTAGTTTATTTTTTAACTGAAAGCCTCAAAGTGTCTTAACTGAAGTAGGAGTTGAAGAGCACTGCTGCAGCACAGCTCTGATCCAGTACAACTCCTACAGATCCTGACCAGAAAAATGTGTGTGTTTTGAAAAGAAACAATACATTAACTTGAACATTTGAGTAATGAGAAAGGCTAGCAGTGTTTAAGAAGCACTAGTCTTTACATGAAACTATAAAGCTCTGCTTTAGTGAGTAGGAAATATGTCTGTACAGCAGGGCTTTGCTTTAATGGTTTAGACTTTTACTTAGGCTTCTATCCTACAGGATAATGGCTTAATAGAGTAGCCTAATCTAACACAGCCGCTTTTCATTGTTCATTTGAATTTTCTGTGATACTTACATGGTTAAACTTCTATTAGTTTTGGCAGAAGAGATTACAAAAATCAGCTCGTCCAGAATTCTTTTTCTATGACATCTCATTTTGCTGGTAGAAAGATTCTTTCGTTGTGGAATTGTAAACTTTGGTAGCAGTCAAAACTGGCATCGTTTAAAATAGTAAATTGGGTCTGATCCAAGACCGTTGTTTCATCTTGACAAGCAATAAAGCTGAGTGTAAGCACAACTATTCTCTGTATTTATTACCTATTTGATTTTCAGAAAGACTGTTTGGCAAAGTTTCTCAGTTCTGTTGGCCATTCCAACCCCCTGTACTGCTTCTAGGTGATGAAAGACTTTGCGATACATTGATTATAATCTCTCACATACATCATGGCACTAAATAAATTGGTATTCCAGGCCAGAGCCGTTGCCCCTCTAGAAGCCACAAAATGCAGTAACAAACCAATTGTGCTCTTTGTTGATGCAGCTCCCACGTAGCTCCTACCACCTTTGGGTGTTGAGCAGTGGCTGAGTGGCTGTAGTTACATAAAGTAGAATTGCCATTCTTTGTAAATTGTATTTAAATTTTCAGAGAATTCTGTTGAAATTACCCAGTAAATTATCATTTGTTGTGTTCGTTTTTCTGTAACTACCAAGAGGTAACAGTTGGAACCATGAGTGCATTAGAAGAGATGCTATAAAGATAAGCAACTATCTTATTTCTTCAGTGACTAAATAAAATGAAACAAAACATGCAACGGCTTAACTATCATCTCAGCATTGGAAGGTTAGTTAGATGTAAGGTGAGATAATTTATTGAAGTTATCAATAAAATGTGCGTGCATTACTCCACAGAGAAAACAAAAAGCAGAAAGATAAAATAAATCTGTTGCAGTGAAGGCAAAACACATTACTTCATCTGTTCAGCAAGAGAGAAATGCTTATTCTTTAAAATATTTTGCTGACTTTGCCAACTTTGTATTGCTCTCAGACTTCCCCCCAAACAAAACAAAGCAAAACAACAAACAGTAAACATACTTTTATTTGCCATGATAGAGACATCTAAATCTTCACTAAGCTCCATCCTCCCTTCATAGAAAACAGAAAAAGCACCTCCAGGAAGCAATGTACAGCTTATTCTAGACACTCATTTCAAAATGGGATTAACTGCCTCGTTGAGGTACTGTCTTGTGTGTGTTAATTAACTATAAGGTGAGCCTGCAAAGATTAAATCAGTCTTGGATGTCTAACTGGTTGCTGTCTCAATGTTAAGAGACAGGTCCAGCTCCTATGTGTTGTAGGTACACAAATAATCTGAACTTTGTTCTAGTGAAAGAGAAAAGCCCTGGGCTTTCTCTTCCCTTGAGAAGGACCTGGGGGTTTTTGTTGACGAGAAGCTCCACGTGAGCCATTAATGTGTGCTTGCAGCCCAGAAAGCCAGCCTGGGCTGCATCAAAAGCAGCGTGGCCGGCATGTTGAGGGAGGTGACTGTCCCCTTCTGCTCTGGTCTTGTGAGACCCCACCTGGAGCCCTGCACTCAGCTCTGGGCCCCCAGCACAAGGACATGGAGCTGTTAGAGCGAGTCCAGAGGAGGGCCACGAGGCTGATCAGAGGGCTGGAGCACCTCTCCTGGGGGGACAGGCTGAGGGAGTTGGGGTTGTGGAGAAGGCTCCGGAGAGACCTGACAGCGGCCTGCCAGTGCCTAAAGGGGCCTACAGGAGAGCTGGGGAGGGAATCTGTGTCAGGGAGTATAGTGGTAGAGGTAATGGCTTTAAACTAAGAGAGGGGAGATTAGGATTAGAAATTAGGAAGAAATTTGTTAGGAAGAAATTCTTCCCTCAACGGGTGGTGAGGCCCTGGCACAGGCTGCCCAGAGAAGCTGTGGATGCCCCATCCCTGCAGGTGCTCAAGGCCAGGCTGGATGGAGCCTTGGGCAGCCTGGGCTGGTGGGAGGTGTCCCTGCCATGGCAGGGGGTTGGAACTGGGTGGGCTTTAAGGTCCCTTCCAACCCAAACCATTCCATGAATCTGTGACTGGAACAATGGCTTATAGTCAATTTATTACACCATAGTGTTAAAGCAAAACGTACACCCTCCATCACAGAAGACTGTAGCCTACATCTACTAAATGTCTTTGTTATGTAGCCTTGTGCTCTTTGGGGGAACAGAATGAGCACGTGAGAAATTAGAGCAGCTCGCATGCTAAAATTCACAAAGACTGGAATAACCAAGAAACAGCATTGACTTTAAACAGAAATTACTACTGATAATGCAGCAGATACAGCAGTGATTCAGTCGTGGTACAGCAGAAGGTAGAGATGTCAGGTGAAATGCAGGCCTACTACAACCAACAACAGATAAGGGAGCTTCTCCACAGCTGTGTATGGCTGAAGGTAAGGGATGGATAACCCCTATACCTCCATTTTGGTCATGAGGAACTGAAACATAGACATGAAACTTGTCAAAGGGGCATATTTGGCAGTTGGGTCCCATTATTCCTTCGCTGTTGACTCTTTTTTTTCAAAACCTCGAGATGTGTTTCTTGTTGTTGTTGTTGTTGATAAGTATGAAGACAGGTACATCTCCACTACACATTACAAAAGTAAAATTGGTCAAAGCAAAGAGGAAAAGTCCTACAAATGAACCCCTACCTTTTGAATCCAAGCACTTTCAGACCTGCCAGTAAATTCCTTATTCTTACAAATTTAATTCTTATCATAGTGTTAAGTTTCACAAGATAGCTAAACTGTCTATGGTTTCAGACAAATGCTGTAGAGCTGTTGTGCAAGATTGCCTCCCGGTGGCGGTACCAAGAATCTGCAGAATGACATAATTTGCACACAGACGAGGCAAAAACCTGTTTTAAAAGAATGCTTCCTTTTTAAACTCAGGTCTAACCAGAGAAAGTGAAAGAACTTTCCTCTCAGTTGAACACCAAAATAAATTTGTGTGATTTTAAATGGCCTGAATTGAGGACAAAACTTTTGGTATTTGACTGAAACATTTTTCTAGTGGCATACTAACAATCAAAGTTTCAGCAATTTTACCGAAATGTTAAAAAAATCAGTAAGATGTATCCAATTGCACACTATCCACGGCAATGAGGCTAACAAAGTCTGAAACACTTAGTAACTATTCAATACAAAGCAAATGACTAAGTGGCGAAACTTGGATAAAAGTGCACCAGAGTAGACTTACCCTCCTGTGAGTTCTGTGCAACTCAAGTTCTCAGTTACAAAGGTAACAACAAAATAAATAAATACATAAATAAAAAAGGCAACAATACCCAGAAATCCCAAACTACCTTTCAAAAGTGTTTTTTAAAGACAGCTTTATATAGCTGTTTAAGACAGAAAATCAGGAGGACAGCTTGGAATTACTGTAGAAGTAGGACTTCAGTAAATTCTGCTTCAACTGACCCAGCAGATCTAGTATAACAGAACAGGAAGTTTGAATGGCAGTGAAATGCAGGGAAAGATTTAAATATCCCCACTTTACGGATTAATGTAATAAAGTTAAATAAAATAAAATAAATAAAATAGCAAAGGGTACATGTGGTGTGTTTTATACTTGGTTTCCTGTAACTGGTCAGAAGAGTAAGTGCTTTAAATATAGCAGTCCAGCACAAAATGGATTTTTAGCCCTCAAAACACCTGAACAGCATCCAAAAGTGTGTAGGAAATATTCAGGAATTGAGCATTTCTACAGTGACTGGGTGTTTGGTCATCAACAAGTTTGGCAGGCAGGAACAGACAAACATCGTAATAACATAACAGGAGGTTCCCATAAAAAAAAAAAAAAAGCCTTTATAGTATTAGGCAGGAATAAGCAAAAGTATGTGTGTGGGGAGGGAAATAAACACTTGAAAGTTTAATCCAAGAAAGAATATATTTTCTTAAACTGGAATGGAGTCAAACAGTGACAAATTAGTTTTTAGCTTTCCAAAATGAAGGGCAGTTCAATTTTACACATTGGAATGTAACAACACTAAGTATAAGATGTAAGCTTCTCACTTATGGACTAATGTCAGTACCAGGCACCATGAATTGATGTAAATATTAAAATCTGCTACATCTCTGATTACTAAAAACTCTTTAAATGTGATGTCATAGGCAGAAAAAAAAATATTTTTTTATTCAACTGAATTTGCAAAGGAAGCAGCCATCCTTTTCATAGTTATACCTTCACGATAGTATCTTTGTTATCATGTGAGCAACACATCGTATCACATGGAGCCAAAATCATTTGGGTGATGTAGGATTAAACATGGAGTGAGATTAATTTACAAGCATAACAGAGAGAAGCAAAACTGTTTCATGCTGTGCCATAGTAAACCATTATTGGCTAACTGGCATTAGGTTTCAAAAATTCATTTTGAAAAGTATTACCAAAATGAAGACTTAGAGTAGCTTAACATAGTTTTCCAGAAGTACTTAATGACAGCCTTTTTGCATGCATCTGACATTACTCTTACACAATTAAAGCACTCAAGGAAAATAAATTACTCCACAAAAAGTGGTTGTACTCGGTACTAACAATGACCAGAACTAGACCCTTTTATGATACTCAGCTTCTAGCAAAACATACAGATAGCACATGCAAAATGACACCAGACTAATGCAAGAAACAAGTGCCTTTCTAGCTTATCTAAGTTGCCTTGGAAAGGAAATACAATCAAAATATGTGACACATGGGATTTTTTTTCTTGATTATTTACTAGGATGTGCAAAGATGACTTAATGTCGTCACTGCGATCTCTGCAGAAGCACAATGTTCGAAGCTGGCCTTTTCTCTAAGAAGGCTGGTGCCTAAAATTGTAGAGTGGGGTAAAGGGTCTCCTATTTCAGAGAAAAATGGTACATCACAAAATATTTAGATAGCAGAAACATTTAAGCACTACAGAACACTGGAGGCATGGATTAGAATATGTTTCTTCAAAGCATTTGATGCTATAAAGGGCCACTCCTTCCGTAAGCTGGAATGAGCTGTGTGTCTCCAGTGATTACCTGGCTAAAGCAAAGAACTCTTCCTGCCCTGAGCTACAGCCATTCAATGTATGTATGAACATTGCAATCTTACTGAACAATAGTTGGGGTGAGTTTAAAACAAAAAACAAAGCAAACCGACACAGAAACATCTCAAATATTTGGGAATGCCAGGTGATTTAGAAGGATGAGTGATGCTGCAGAAGCTGAAGCTTAACCAAGCTGGACAGTTTCCAGTACATGGCCAGCCTTAAATTCTTTAAATGTCAGCACTCAAAGCTTATCTGCATTTCAGGTATTTGATTTCCAAAAACACCAAATCCCAGCACGTCCAGTTCTAGAACTCCCATTCTGAAATATTGCTTCTATGTATTCCCTTTACTAATGTTAAGCCTCTGGCCTGCTTTAATCAGATCTCCCGGTCATGCTACACCCAGTTCTAAGACTGGCACATTCACTGACCCTGCACATACCATATTTTTCTGAGTCCTCACTTCATTGCTGTAGTTTTGCTGTTTTTCTACTGTTAACTAATTGAAATAGAAAAACAAACAAACAAACAAACAAAAAACAACAACAAACAAAACAACCACAAATTCAGTTAAACATGGTTTATTTAAAACATTCATGTAGAAATGACAAACATCTCACTTTCTGTAATTTTTATTTCCAGTAAAGATTAATTGCAAATTGCTGCTGAACAAGAAGTGATCTTAATTATCTATCTTTAGGAGGATTAGGATTCTTCCGTCTTCTATGATACCTAGAAGAAAGAGAGGCTGCAGTGAATGCACGCTTTGGGAAGTCTTTGATTTTCCTGACAGTATTCTGCCCAGCAAGTAGTCTGGAGGTTACACAAGTAAGCAAAACACAAGATACACAAGCACAATCCACAACAATTCATTAGATGTCATCTCTGTTGTTCATGAAGTTACATAACACTACTCATTTCTATTGCTACATCTGCTACAAGCACGCAATAATCCAATCAGTTCTACAGCTGAATAGGTACTAAGGCTGCTGTTTATTCTTAATCCTTTATGCAAAGTTAATTTTATTATATAGTCAGGGTTTCCTCTGGCTAAAATGATTGCTACAGAACAATCAGGGGTACAGGAGTTATAGCAGACTGTACTTGAAATAGTGTAATATTCTGCAATAATATATATATATATATATATATATACACACACACACACACTTGCAACAAAAATAATTAGATTCCTACATTCTTAATTACCCACCCTAAAACAAGGAAGATACAGTTTGATGCTCATTAAGTGACAGCTACCCTTTAGCCATAGGAAGTTCTACCATTTCATCTCTTTCACCTGTTCCCAAAACACAGTAACTTAAAAAGTGTGCTGGGGACCAGAAAAAAAATAAAATAAAATCTCCCATTCTCTCTGTATCAGATCTTCAAGACTATAAAATTAGCAGTTATGATTAAGTGTAGTAACACAGACTGGAAAGGAGTTACACAAACTAAAATGCTGTTTGTTTCTAGTGGGGTGTCTGAGCGTACATAGTCTCTCTAAGCTCAGTTGGGAATGCTTGTACCTCTCCTAGTAGCTTTCTGAATGCAGGGTACACCAAGGCACACCTTTCCTCATTTCAAATGAAAAATCACTGTTCTCAAGTCTGAGGATCACATTTTCAAGCTGTATTAGGTGTAACTTCACTTATGCAACTTTAACAAATAACGTGGACCCGTAGCTGAATAGGTAGTATGAAAATTTTCTACTCCATGATATTTTTCCAAAATCACAAAGGGTATCAAAGGGGCAGAGTTAAAAAATAAAAATAAATAAAAAAACCACAGGCTTCAATTTACACAACATTGCATTTCAAGTGGTATGCAGTAGCCCATGCGCTAACAGTATCCCATCTCACAAGACATATCCTAGGTTGAATTTGGTCATAAATTATTCCCGTGTTTCCCTTTACCTCCAAAAAGGAAAAAACACTGAAAAGAAAAAAAATTACTTACTGTCCTACAGGATACCACCGATGTTTTGTTGTGTAAAACATTTTGCTGAGCTCTTCAATTGTAGGACCTCTATCATTCTTTAGTTCATTTTCATTCAATCTGGATTTCAAAACTTGATCAAGGGTTTCTTCTTTATGGTTCACTGGATCTGGCCGTGGTATGGGCTATAAAAACAGTAGTGCATATATTTCCTTTTTCTCCTCTTTGATGAAAAACAAAAAGTCAAGCTACATTACTAACATTACCATTTACTAGCTGAAACCAAGGAAAAAATAAGAATTCTGATGAAAGTAAAGGCTATTTACAATACCAGTACCATCCCCCAGTGAAAACCACATCACCATGGGGCAGATCTCTGGAAACATTACCCCAGGTGCTGGAGCTGATTACTGTGCCCCTAAAATCAGCGCTGCTGTCATCACTATGGCTGATCTTTACAATTCACTGGCTGAATCATAAGCATCAATTTACTGACACAGAAGTACTCATATTATTCCTATTTATAAGTTTATTCATACTGATCATCAGCATTTAGTCACACTGCTAAAAAAAATAATAATCTTTAAATGGGTTGTACTTTGGAGAAGAACGTCACTTCCTAATCGTGCATCATCTAACACCAAGATATTTGTTCCCATCCTAAAACTTACCTACTAGCACAGCTACTAATATTTTTCCCTGGTTTATAACCTTTTGCTCCTGAGAGACATGTAAACGATAAATTTTGAAATACCAATATCTAACTTACAGGCAAAGAGTTCTAAACTAAGTTTTCAGTGGAAAAAATTTCACATTGAGTTATTTCAGCAACGCAGCTACCATTTGCAATATTTTACTACCACATGAGAATTGGAAATCACAGAATCACAGAATCACAGAATCTCTAGGTTGGAAGAGACCTCAAGATCATCGAGTCCAACCTCTGACCTAACACTAACAGTCCCCACTAAACCATATCCCTAAGTTCTACATCTAAACGTCTTTTGAAGACTTCCAGGGATGGTGACTCAACCACCTCCCTGGGCAGCCTGTTCCAATGTCTAACAACCCTTTCAGTAAAGAAATTCTTCCTAACATCTAACCTAAAACTCCCCTGGCGCAACTTTAGCCCATTCCCCCTCGTCCTGTCACCAGGCACATGGGAGAACAGGCCAACCCCCATCTCGCTAGAGCCTCCTTTAATATACTTATACAGAGTGATAAGGTCACCCCTGAGCCTCCTTTTCTCTAGGCTGAACAAGCCCAGCTCCTTCAGCCGCTCCTCATAGGACTTGCTCTCCAGGCCCCTCACCAGCTTCGTCGCCCTTCTCTGGACCCGCTCAAGCACCTCGATGTCCTTCTTGTAGCGAGGGGCCCAGAACTGAACACAGTACTCGAGGTGCGGCCTCACCAGAGCCGAGTACAGGGGGACGATCACCTCCCTAGCCCTGCTGGTCACAGTGTTTCTGATACAAGCCAGGATGCCGTTGGCCTTCTTGGCCACCTGAGCACACTGCTGGCTCGACACAAATCGACACAAGAAGCATTCACTTTCTCCAGTGTAAAGAACACACCAACAGTACTACTGATGGATTAAAAAAAAAAAAAAAACAAACAACAAACAACAGTAGTTAGATTTTTCTGTGCAGTTTATGAACCCACAGTGCTGAATGGAATTTAAAGCTTGAGTAGAAAATAGCAGCAGCAGAGGCACTTCTTCATATCCTCTTGCCCAGACTGCTGCATCTGTGCATAGCAGGATGTGTGAACCGTTGTCTGAATTTCAAACATCCTCTTTGTGGAGAATGCTCTTAGGAGCTCGCTTTTTCTGTAGCACTCAACTGTGAGTATCTCATTTAATTCTTTGTTAGTTACTGTATGCTGTAATACCTGAGCATTTCTTACTCTGTAACTTTCCCTCAATTTAATTAAAAATAAATGCCCTCCTCATAGCAGCAGCTACATTCATCATTCATTTGCTGCACAGATACGCTGATCACATAAGAACTACCTCAGTCTTTCAAATTACAAAAAAAAAAAAAAAAAAAAAAAGATGCCCTAAAACTCAGAACTGCCATGCTTTTACATGACTAATAAATGTAAGTGTGTATACTTGGACATACCTTTGTATACTCATATGGAATCTCAATCGAAGGGTGGTAGCAGACAATTGTCTTCGAATCTGATGTCAAGGCAAGTTCCACTTTGCTATAAAAATAAAAAGTTACCTTCTTAAATATATCCAAGTTTCAGAAATGCTAAGCAACTGAGCACTCGATTCCCAAAGAAAACTATATTTCATCCTGAATTCATGAATTATTTAGCAACCTTCTGTAAAATAATACCTAAAAAGGGGTCACAAATATTTTATCTGAACTTCCTGTGAGTTTTTCTTTCAGCTACCTTGGTGGTATTTTTTTTTTTCTTTTGGATAGAAAAGAAGAAAGGGCTAAAATGAAGGACTTCAAATAGCTAGAAACATGGTTTGTAAAAAAGTCTTTAAGATGTTGAATGATTACGTATAAAACTAACAACAGATGGGGATAACAAACGTCAGTAATATCTAGGACAACACACCTTTATAAAAAAGTGTGGCACCCAGTAAGAAGGAATACAAAATAAAGTTCTTGGGTTTCAACCTTTATATTTGGTAACAGAGGGTGGTCAGCACAATAAACAAAGTTCTGTGAGAACTTCCTTGAGGGAGTATGACTTTTCTCACCTTCCTTCCCTACTTACTTCTATGACACAGTAGCTTCCTAAGAACTTCCTAAGAAATGCACGTGTTGCATTTCTCACTGTTTGCATCACCTTTTCCAGTTTCTACTCCACTCGTACCTCCCTTTCCAGTTTCCCATGCAGCAGCCCAGCAGTTTCTGGAGTTTGTCTTAACAATAAGCATCGGTGAAAATCACTGCTGTCAGTTGCTTTTGCTTTTCCACAAACAATACTGTAGCGGTACTGGGGTCATCAACACATTTTGAATTTAAAATTAGTCCTGCATGATTTTGCATTATGCTTATTTTTGAAATATTATCTTTAAAATAAAATTTTAATTTTTTAATAATAAAGCTTTTTAAAATAAAACTTCATATATTAACTTTACAATCATTAAGAAATAGAATTTTAGTTTAAATTATAATATATGTGTCTCCAAAACCAGCATTGTATGACGTCATGACAGAGTAAGTAGCCTGGAATAAGCATCAAATGTAAAGTTCACACATCAAAGCACATTAAGATACCAGTTGTAGTCTTCAGGGAGAATTGAGTATGTGGATTTACGACAAGCATGATATACAGCTCCATCTGCAAAAAAATAAAAGTCACAAACACTGATGTAAAAAAAAGCAGAGCTACGCCAAACATAAGAATATCTTCTGAATTTAAGAAGAGATTGGACTGTGCACTTAGTCACATGGCCTGAACTTTTGGGTAGACCTGTGCGGTGTCAAGAGTTGGACTTGATGATCCTTAAGGGTCCCTTCCAACTCAGGATATTCTATGATTCTATGATTTACATTTTCATTCCAATCTAAGTCAGTTAGGGATTATATTCATATTCACTTTTAGATTAATAAAACCCAAATACGGTCTGAATAGAAGCTCACTTTACTATGATTTCTAGTGCTATCATAGACATTGTATGTAGGTAGCCACGTCCTACTTTTACTTTTCCATTGTACTGTTTTCCTGAGAAACATCACAGTATTTAGAAAATACTGACAGACTTCACCGTTAGCGTATATTCTTTATATACCCTGACTCTCTATATATTTAAAGGGTGAAAAACATTACCATATGGCTTACAAGTAAGATCATCTGATCTGATTTTTTGTTTTAATTCATAGCAGCATTCATTGGAAAAACAAATTTGTACTGTGCTAGAAACTGGTATGTATGCTACAAAGAACTACTATGTCTTGGCTGCTGTAACATTAGAGAACTTTATCCCTTCCCTAGACTACTGTTACTCCAAGGAAAGCAATCACAAGAATTACAAGTAGTAAAGTAGCATGCTGGACTATACTAGCAAACGGACTGAGGGAAGTGATTATCTCCCCGTACCCAGCACTTGTTAGACCACATCTTAACACCATGGCCACATTTGGGCCCTCTGATAAAGATAAAATGGAATAAACTCTGCAAAGGCCCACCAAAATAGCGAGGGGCTGCAACACCTGCCCTGTGCGGAGATGCTGCGGGACCAAGGCTGTTTCAGCCTACAGTTATGATTTAGCGTAGACTTTTCTCAGCATCGTTTGTAAGCCTGAAAAACTAAGTTTAAATCTTCAAGTATAATGTAATTAACGGTTGCAGCAGTGTTATTTACACGCTAATTAATAAGTTAGATGAGCGTCATGTGTGGGCATGGAAAAAACAAGCCAAGACATCCTTTAATAACTGAAGGGAGAAAACAGAGTATCGGACTTGATTCAATAATTCACTTCCACGTTCCTGTTGCCGCAAGCAGCGCAGCGCAGGGGCTCTGGGGCTCCCCCAGCACAACCCCCCCCACGGCAGCCCCGGCCCCAGCCCCGGCCCCAGCCCCGGCCCCACTCACCCTGCGGCGGGGCCTGCGGGCAGGGCGCTCCCCAGCGCCTCAGGAGGACGCGGGACCAGGCTCTGAGCGGCGCTGCCATGCTGGCTGCAGCCAGGAAACCGGTGCTAGGCGGTGTTTATTGATTATTTATTAATTTATGGGCCGGGACCCCCGAAGGGTACCCCCCGTCCCCGGCCTCGTCCGCCCGCCCGCCCGCCGCACTGGCTGCGGACCTCCCCCCGCGCCGCTCCGCTTCCGGCGCCCGCCCCGCGGCCCGCTGGGAAATGTAGTACGCGGGGAATGGGGGGGGGGGGGGTGGAATTGGGAATTTTATCTTCTCTGGTCCGTGGCGTTGGAATTTCACGCCATCATCAGTGGAAACCTCCCGGGTTCGGCACCATCTGACTCTGTTCTGCAGTTGCAGAGCAGTCAGCCCTGCTGATGCTTCCAGGAGCCCAGCAGAGTCGCTGCCAGAAATCTCTGGTCAAGGGCTGCTGGTTGCCACAGATCGTTCCCATGAGCAGCAGCCAATGTTTGTTTTTGGAGATTTTTCCTGGCAGTGGGAGGTGGAAGGCTTGGAGTGCTGGAATCAGTAAGCCATAGAGAGAGGGGCAGAGAGGTGCCACAATGCTTCACAATGCACCTTGGAAAGATGCAACCAGGATCAGACACTGCATCTCCACTGTGACACTCCTCCGCGCTTTCTCCATCGCTCCCATCCAAGTTTCTGTGTACGGCCGCAGTGATGTGAGCTGCGCTCGGGCACCAAACAGAAGCCACACAGCTCTGTGTATCTTCTGCCACGTACCAGCTCGTTATTCCCACAAGGAAATTGTTGTGCTAGGATGAGGTCAGCTCTTGGATGGAGAACAGCCTTTTGAAGCTGAATGCAAGCAAGAGAGCGGTTCTGCTGATGAACAAAGAGAACATGTTGGCGATTTTAAGCTCAAGGACAGTGCTGACAAAAATAAATGATTATAAAGTGTCTGAAAGAAATGCAGTCTGGAAATTGCTATAAGAAGTGAAGTCGTGTTTAAGGAGTGAAATTCTAGAATACCTTGTCCATAGGTGTGGTGGAGATAAACTGATTTACTTCTCACTGCATCTTGCTGAGTTTATGAGCACGTAAACTTTGTTGTTGTCACAACGTGGGTACTGCTTGTCAGGTTTCTTACCAGGATCTTGCACGTGGTACAAACTGGTCAATGTGACTAACAAGTTTCCTAACCTGGGAAATTTTGTAGGCCTACTGTATTCAGCTATTAACCGCCAAGGAGCTAATTCTTCAACAGGATTATAAAGAACAGCGAAAGATCTTGATCTTGTAGTTCCTTATATACGTACATATATCCAAGTTTTTAGTTACTTTATTTTTTTCCACACAGCCAATGCTATGTGGCTCTTAGGAGGGAATGTCTGGCTCCACACAGGAGGGAAGCCACCAGGAGGGTTACTGGTATCTGTTACTGGCACTATCACATCCTTAGTCTTGTCTTTCATGTTGTGACAACGGCATATCACTTACAGGGTGTTTTAGAAATCCATAGTAATGTTTTGTGTCTCGTATAAACTTATTGGGAATACTTGACAGCCCTCTCAAATTTTGATTCACAAAACAGCCTCCACTAGGCTTTCAGATTCCCTGATTTTATACCCTCAGTTAGTTTTACATTAGAGGTAACCTGTGGGTATTTCTTATTCTGGAAATGCGTTCTTTTTGAAGATTACTGTGGCGGCAAACCTTGTAACCTAAATCCCAGTTCTAGAAGGTTGCAATGGAAGACACCGAAGAACTTTATTTTTAAAAACTATACCACATTCCCTGTTAGGTTTCCAGACTATTTTTAGATGGTTTCTAAAAAAGGTTTTGGGAGACAGTATACGAGGTCTACCCCCTCCCTAACACATAATGTTCTGAGAGTCTATTCTTAGAAGCATGTTCTGACAGATTACAACTTTCTGGTAGCAAGACAGGAATTGCTTAAGGACACTCAGAAGCGTGACTACACACTTCTCAAGTATGTCTGGAGATGGGGTTATTAATAACTGCCAACTGCATTGCTTGCCTCAGCATATTGTGGGCAGCAAAGAGGAAAGTTGCTTGGTCTGTATTGGCTGAGCAGAAAGGAGATTTCTCTGCCTGTTAACTGCGAGGATACTGTGAAGGCACCAGTCATAATTCCATGAGTTGCTGACCTCTTCCTGGGACTTCATGTCTCTGAAAACCTAGAAAGCATAGTTTCTAGATTGCTCTCTTCCTGAAGAAAAAGTCTTACATTTTTTTTTTTTGATCTTACTGGAGCTGTCAGTCATAAATTTCTCCAGGAAATAGTTTAACTGCTTGAACACTTGATTCACAGTCAGGCAACAAACTATGTAGTAATGAAGGCAGGGCTGTGTTGGTTGGCTCTGCTTTAGAGGAACAAATACATAAATCAGAGCTTGTATCTAGAATTGATGTGGTCATTTTTTTTTAAATTATTTTATTTATTTATTTATTTTTGTGTTGTTCCCTCCCTCTCCACCTTGCCCTGTGGGGAATAGAAAATCCCGACTTGGTGGTTCTAGTTCTCTTGCTGCAGTGGTATATTTAGGAAATTGTTTCTTGGTACATTTGTTTGGGCTGCTCATTGGCAAAATGAACACAGAAAGTATTTCTTTTTGTGTAGAAACCAATGTTTCAAAATCCTCAAGGAATAAGCAATTGGTTTATTTTGTTTCCATTCAGTCTGGAGTAGAAAGGTACTATATAATAATATCTAGAAGTGAAACTGAATTTGTGAATGCATGGGCTTGTTTTACTGCAAGTAAGGTTTCCTAAAAACGGAGATGGACAAGCCTTTGCTCCTGAAATAATGTGTCTTAATCTTTGTGTAGTTATTTTACAAATTTAGGGCACAAATCTCTAATAATGCACTGCAGGAAGTAATTAGGGTGTTAATTATTAAATCTTTTCATGTTACACCGCAGTCAGAGAGGTGTCTATATTTTAAGTCAATCTGTAAACACCCAGAAACAACTCCAATGCTTATGTCAGTAGCCTATCTTCATTCTTTTGTAAATCTCATCTCATCCTGTCACCTGTCCATCTGGGTACCGTTAAGGAGTCAAGCTGCAACTAAAGTGCTTGTAGTATATCAGTGCTTGTAGTATATTAGTGATTTGTGCTTATGTTGATTACTGTAGTTCAAGTAAGCAATATTATGCTTGTATTCTAGCAGCCACTCTACAAAAAAAAAAAAAAAAAGAAAAAAAAGAGGGGTGTTTCCTACAGTTTAGGCTTGGACTCTCAGGACTCTCAGTATCCCGCTGTGATGTCCTGTGTAGGTAAAACATACAACTGATTTCTTCTCCCAGGACAGCTTCAGCTGCCAGTTAAGATCATTCTGAAGCTGTTCAGTGACTACTGTGATTTTTGCCATGTACAAAACTGCACTTCCGTGCATCAGTTTCCCCATTTATGTGTAAGGATAACAACAGTTGTTTCAAAACACTGACATTTACTAAGAAATATTTTTTAATGTAAACTCTAGATATTACTTTGAGGATTCATTCAGTATGTGTACATATATACTTTTTTTTTTTTTAATAATCATCCTGATGAACATCCTGTTGAACAATGTTGATCCTTTCTACAATATTTAACAAAAAATGTCAAAATGGTTTTATGTAAAATAAAGACTCAAGGTTTTGTAAGATTTGTAATTGCAGTAGGACTTCTGTGAGATTGCAAAGGGGGTAGGAGGAGGAGTAAGATTAGTCATCCACAGGCTCAGCTGGTATGGATGCACCCACTCAATGAGTAACTAAAAGACAGGAAAAGCTGCACAGGAAGACGGTCAGCAGCTGTGTTGAATTGTCCTGGGAGTATTAATTGTATAATTGCAATCATTTGTTTACATTTTCTGTCTACAGTGACATTATAGAGCACGTCGTTGGTAAATAAGGTGGTTGCTTAAGTTTGTTCTCAGAACTGCCATAATCCTGGGGATGGTGTGACGTGACTGTCACGGATTTGTGCAAGGAGGAGCACGCTCCTTGTCCTGGCTCCCACATAGGTGCAGCGGGACAAGACGGGCTGAGTCACCAGGACACGTTGCTGCTGCTGGAAGGGCTGATCCTATTCCTGCTGCATCTTACTGTGGGTCCTACTGTTCCTCTTGCGCCAGCTTTAGTGCCTCAGTGAGCTAGTCAGAAAGGTAAATGAGTCAAAAACACATAATTAAATAAATAAATAATCCCTCACTCCTCCCATTCTCTTAGCAGATAAGCACCTATGGAAGGAGGGGGGTCAGGAACACAGAGCAGAGCGACCTTGTCAAAATAGTAAGAGACATCAGAATTGATTGGTTTAATAACTCACGGATACTAAAAGGGGAAACTTCACTCCCATTCCTGGAATTTACCTTCTGGTGTCTCTGGTACTTGCTAGGCCACAACGTAAGGCAAATCAATTCACCCTTCCAGCAGAAGACTGGACTAAACGGACAGTGTTTCTGCCTGGTTAGTGAGGTGAGTCAGGTCAGTAGAATCTGATAAGATCCAGGAGTGAACTGTGGGGAAATGCTGTGGATGAGGAAGGAGCGTAGGAGTGGGATGGGAAGAGGAAATAAGGTCTCCTCCTTCTGACAGGTTGACTCAGCTGCCTGATGTAACGTGACCCCAAATACAGAGTTTCACCTAATCCAGGAGATACAGTTTGTTCCTTCTCATACCACCAGGTGTTCCTGTCCCCTTTCTTGTGCCAGAACTACACAGCTGTATGGCTGCAAGCAGTTCAGCTCAGTCCACAGATCCCCCAGGAACTATTTGGTCTTCTGTGAGACAGGTGAGCTAAGGGAGCAGCAGTGTGTGGCAGAGGATGAGGGCAGGATCTCTCTTCAGTAGGGGTGCAAGTACAAGGTGGTGTAACCCTGATGTTAAACTACACCCTAAATAACCACTGCTGAGGGAGGCCTTGTCAGAGCTGGTCTGAATTGGGACTACAGGTGACAACAATTTTTACAAGCACTCTACCTGAATTTCCGTTGCAATGTCTGTGTTTGTAACCCTTTATAAAAGGCAACCAACAGCAACAGCACCTAGGCAAGATTGCTTTTCAGCATTGAACCTGCATTTTCAGGCAACCTGCATTCAGAAGCAAGGCATCAAGCAGGGAGCAGCACTGCTCCCTCCAGGGAGCTGAGAGCACCCCGCTGGGAGCTGAGCGGTGACCCCACCTGTGGCACCAGAGGCAGGAGAGCAGAGCAGGGTGGTCACCACAACTCGTCCTGTCACCACAACTTGTCCTGTTATTCATCCAGGGACCAATAGGCCTGCCAGGGTAACAGGTGGGTCCAGGAAACCCAGGAAGAGGGCCAGGGTAGGCACCCTGAGGTGTAACTCAGGAAGGGACTGAACACCCTGATCCTTCAGATGGTGAGGGTGGAGGCCCCACTTGAGGCCAATCACAGCAATTAAGGTCCATTTGTGCACCCTGACACACAGCTGTGGAGTCAAAATACCACGTAACAAGGTCTTTACTCATCTGAGGGCAGTACAGCTACCACGTTCTTGAGTTGGACTCAGTGATCCTTGTGAGATCCTTCCAGCTCAGGATATTCTGTGATTCTACAATTCTGCCTGAGCCTGTGGGGTTTGTTTCAAGGATACTGGGGAAGCAAACAGCAACTGACAGCTCTACGAGACAATCAGACAGAACTCCAGGCAATAGTCTAATGAAAAATCTCAATTTAATTTAAACAAAAGTATCAATCTCAATGACTGTCAAACACATAGCATCTTTATCTTTCAACCCACAAAAAGAAAAATACCAGGTTGAGTCAGGGGAGGCGGCTGTCTGAATGAAGATGTGTGACTTCATTAATTACAACATTCAGGATGAAAGTAAAGCTTTATCTTTCCCCCCAATAAACTTTTATTTTACAAAAAAAAAAAAAAAAAAAAAAAAAAAAGGATTGCTGAAACACTTTACAAATTTTGACAAATTACCTGGGTAGTGTTGTGAAAATCTAGTTTTTCAGATCTACTTTCTCTTCTCTACTTTTCTCCTGTCTGCTCCCCCTCCCATGCCATTCAAGAAGCTTGTACATCTATTTAGGTGGTTTTAATGGTATTGCTATATGTGACTGAAAAATTGTGTGGATAAGGAACTCCTGTGCCATACCGCTCAAAATATATAATCTAGAAGGGACGAATAAAAGCATTTTAGGGTCAACCTTGAATTCTGGAGTAGGAGTGTTGAAGAACTATTCCACCAGCGGAAGCAGAAAGCAGAGCCATGCTGGGCTGGATCACCAGTGGCTCTTCTCCAAGGAAGCCTTCCAAGAGACATGCCAAATGGAGGGGGAGCACACGGTGCTATGTGGGCTGCAGTCCAGAGCCCAGTTACAGTGGCAACAATGGCTGAGTGGGAAAAGTATTTTCCTTTTGGGGTGGACACTGGAAGATTATTGGGGTGGAAAAGCACCAAGAAGGTACAAGAACCTCCCCACAGGCTGCGACTAGCTGAGGAGACATACTTACGTGTCTTGTTCCAGCTCTGATTCAGAGGATTAAGTTGCATTCTTTGTAATTTTAGAATGCAATAAAAGGACAGTTTTAACTATAGCCTCTCCTGGAAGATATCCCTTGTTCAGAGGGAGTGCAAAGAAGCAAAATCTAAAGCCAGGATTCTGGAGTAGCCAGTTTTGATGGCTTTTCCTGCACCCATATGGATGCTCAGGGACCTCCATAGCAGTCTTTTTAGGAGCGGAATAACTTAGGGGTATGACCTAAATCTTTGTAAATATGAAAATAAAGAAATAATGTTTTTGTTCCCTGTTACTTCTGGAGCAAGTGGACTACAAAAACATCTTCCTAAAAGCCAGAAAGAGAGGCATCATGAAAACTGCAGCTTCCCCAGGATGTGGCAGGCCACTTGCTGAGCAATGAAAACTATTCAAACATAATAGCTTGCCAGACCAACTTGCTGCAGCCACAGGCTCAAGTGAGATTCCTGGTCTGCAACACTTGTAAGAGAACACCACATACAACATTCATCAGCAGTTTAAGTCAACTGTGCTCTACTCTTGCTGCATCTAGTAGGCATGGGGCAAGGTTTACAGAGCAGAAGTCCCAGCACTTTCAAGGAGCTGTGTGGCTTTTTACTTACACTGATCCCAAAAGCACCTTTTGGCCTGTGTTTTTCTGCCATTTATGCCAGTCCTTTCATGATCAGTATTGCAGGAGAAGGCTAGAAGGTGGAAGAATGGTGGGGGGTGGAGAAAGAGAGAAGACAGAAACAAGGAAAAATGTGTAATTCTGCAAGCAGTGTAGAAAGAGAAATCAGTTCTAATTACTTCAAAGTTATATCCCACTGAAGGTTCTTTGACATGTAATAAGCACTGGAGTCATTGAGTGTTTCTCCCACTGGGACTACCAAAACCTTTTCTATCTTTTGCCCACCCATTTTTGAAAATTTCACAAGGAATTGCTGCCTTTAATTTCTCCAGCTATATCCTGATATCTGTTTGATGCTGACAAGTGCATACTTGGGTTTCTGGGTTACTGGCATAGGAAAGAAGGGTGAAATGGGACCATTTGGTCCCTTAGCTGTCCGCTGTATTATGTGAAATTTACAGAACATGGAGAGAACAATTTTTAAAATAACCTAAATGTATGCATTCCTTCTGTATATGTCAGCATACCTGCTAATTCAAAATGAAGACTCCTCGTTATTACTGGGTGTCATAGCAACATGATTACAAATATGTGCAGTTATTCATGAAGCTGCAAGATTATACGAATGTTAATGTCCTCTTTTAAATAACCTTCTGTCCTCAGTTTTCTCTCCTGACTCCCTAAGCAAAGTTTGCTCTAATCCCTTTCCTCAAAAGCAATTAGATTCTCTAAACCATTCTCATACTGCTCAGTGGTAAGCAGTTATTTACACAGATCAGCACTATATTGTGGTCATCACTAGATTGTGTTAATTCATTTGCACCAATGCCATTGCTTTCCCAAGGGGCAGACGTTTTGAGAAGACATTACTGTGTTTATAGCTTTTATAATTTACTGCTAAGTAATCCTTCATTTGTGAAGATATGAGTTCTACAGGTGGCTCTTAAATGTAGCCTCAAAATTCTTCAAAATAAACAAGGTTTGCTCAAGAGCTATTATTGTACCACATAGGATCTAAACCATCCACGTGAGCCCAGGTCTGAGGTTTACTTTTGCCCATTCAAAGAACATCTCGAATACAAGTATTTTTTGCTTAGGGGTAGGAAGCTGTGCTACAGTCATTTGCAAGGGACTCCACATCTCTGTGCGAAAAAAATCAACCAACTAGTAAATCACCAAGACTGCTGCCACCAGAATCAAACATGAAAGCACTGTGCATCCTCAGAAGGAGAGCCCTAGCAGCCTAGGTTATAATAATTTGCTGTTAGGCACCAGATATGCTATAGATACTGTAATATATGAAGCAAGGAAAAAATAAAGAAAGGCAAACATCCAACTGAAGAAACATATTATCTTAGAAAGGCTTTTTTAGATGAGATGGCAAGTAGTACGAAGTCACTGAGTATACAGAAGTACACATTCAGTCTAGTTTATTAGTAGCAACAAGCTGTAGTAAAGTAAAAAGGAAAATCCACAATTAAAAGTAGGTATAACTAGCAAGACCGGCCTTTGCTGAAGGACCACATCTAAACACAGCCATTTCACAAGCTCAGTAATGAATGCAAATAAACTCACCCTTCTCCACTGCAGGATGAGGGTGTGTTATTGATGAGTCCTTTAAGCTCCAATTCTGCAAATGTGCTTCCATGCACTTTTCTTGCTGTATGTCACGTTATTGTTGATTTTATTGACTTCATAGAAAGTTACATCCATTAATTTAGGAGAGCAACAAAGTGTTTAAAGGGACAAAGATGTACATGAGAGTGCACAGCAATTAAGTTTTTTTTTTTTTGGTCACGAATTCATTCATGAATTTATTGGAATTACTGCTCTATTCAACAGCTAAGGAGATCAAATAGCGTAGAACAACAATGTAGTTGTTAGTTACCTTCTGTAGCGTGAAGGATAAAGAAGGAAAAGTAGGTACGTTTTGGGGAAGTATTGTGGGGAGGGTGAAGTTTTCAGCTTAGAGGAGACTGAGGGGAGGCCTCATGGCGGCCTGCATGAGGGGAGCGGAGGGGCAGGCGCTGAGCTCTGCTCTCTGGGGACAGTGACAGGACCCGAGGGGACGGCATGGAGCTGGGACAGGGGAGGGTCAGGCTGGGGGTTAGGGAAAGGGTCTGCACCCAGAGGGTGCTCGGGCACTGGGACAGGCTCCCCAGGGCAGTGGTCATGGCATTGAGCCTGCATTTGGAGAAGCGTTTGGACAATGCTCTCAGACGTGATTGATTTTGGGGTTGATCTGTGGGGAGCCACGAGTTGGGCTTGATGCTCTGTGGGGCCTTCCCACTCAGGATGTTCTGTAATTAATCTTAAGGAGGGGGACACACCGCATCTGACGTGTTATTGCAGCCACACAATATGTGTTGATATAAATGCCTAAATTTTAGGACATAGACCACATTTGTGTCAGCAGTTACGCGGTCCGGATTTGCCAGTGTCAGAGACCTTTCCTTTCCACCACGGCGTGGGTCACCCACGAGCCCTGTTTATGACAGGGAGACAGCACTTGAGAGGGAGCCGTGCGTGCAGCATCCTGCTCCCGGCCGTGCTGCTCGCTAACCTCTGGCGGTGCCTTCACCCCTCGGTGCTTTCATGTCCCACCCGAGCAGCAGCGATAGCTGGGATGCACGGGTGGGACTGGGATAGCAGCGATAGATGGCGGGACGGGGCGCTGGGGGGTGATGGTGTCTGTGTGGGTGACCTCTGGCTCCTAGCGAGGATGGAAATTCACTTAGAGGGGCTTTGGTAACACACGGGTATATGTTTGGGGGTGCTTCTGTGACACTCTAGATGCCGAAATGGGACCAACAGAGCGAGGCCGCCCCCGCCCTGTCAGCGGCCGGGGCCTCGGTTGCCCGGCGTGCCGCGCCGAGGGCGGTGCTGGCGGAAGCGCGGCGCGGGCGGCTTCCGGCTGTGCGCGAGCGGCGAGCGGAGGCGAGCCCGCCAGGCTGCTCCCGACGAGACAAGATGGCCGGGCTGCCCCGCAGGATCATCAAGGTGCCGCCGCCCGCGCCCCCCGCGGCTCCCCCCCGGCCCCCTCCGCCCTCCCGCTGCCGGGGAGCGGCTCCTGGGGGCACCGGGCTGCGCCCCCCGCCCTCCCTTCCCCTCCCTTCCCCTCCCCGTCCTCCCCCCCCCCCCCGGGCCCGGCCCCATCCCGGCGCAGCGCGGCCCTGCCCGGCCGTGAGGGCCCTGCCCGGGGCTGCTGCTCCCCGCCGGGCTCGGGCTCCGCCGGGGCGCTCCCCGCCGGCCTCGGGGCCGGTTCTGGCGTGGGCCGAGCCCGGTGGGGCCGCACGGGGGCTGAGCGGGGCCCGCTGCCGGCCCGCGGGCCCCGGGGGTGGGTGGGCGCTGGGCTGGGCGCCCCCGGCCCTGCCCCACAGGCGGTGGTGGGGCTGGGGGCCCTCAGGCCGGGGTCGGTGGGTGGGTGTCGGTGGGTGACTGCTTGCTGCGATAGGGTTGGGGAGTGGTCAGGGGAAATGGGTAGCGCCCCGTTTCTGCGCCGAATGAATGAATGTCAGAAGTGGCTGGCGGGGCTGGGAGGCTCTCCTGGCTGGGCAGGCCAAGCGGCCGGCCGCCCTGAAACACCGTAACGCGGCCTGTGGGGAGTAACTGGTGCAGAAATAAAACTGGATCGTGGTTAAAAAGATCAGTTTGTGTGATAGGTGATAGAGGAGAACGAGGTAAAAATAAGACAGGCTTAGGACTCGTTGTGTGTCAAAGCAGTTAAACTAACACTGCTGCTCAGAAACGAAGCCTTCGTAACACAGATCTGAGTGTGGACATCCAGCTGCCTTGGTGCACAGCATACATGTACAATAGTGAACATATTTCAGGTGCGAGAAAGCAGTTTCATAATACAGCAGAACCAGGACTCATCGCAGAGATGTGATGAGAGCTCACTCGTGGAGCTGATGCCTGCGTTAGGTTTTTCTGTAGCTTTTGACAATTTTCCTGCGCGCAGCCAAGAAGCGCACCCACTTGTAAGCTGGTACATACGTTTCCTTCTTGGCACTTTTGGTTTTTCAGCTTCTTTTAGGAAAAAAGCGTAGAGCAATGCTCACAGCTCTTTTTCCAATATAGATGATGGCACAGGAATGTTTTATCCCATCCTTGGAGATGGATGGGCAGACACACACTCCTACCAGCAGAGTCCTATAAACTCCAGGTTTCCTTCACAGGGGTCTTCCTTAGACCATACCAGGAGTAATGTCTCTTACAGGGTGGTGCGTGCTGTGGGTTGTGCCCTGTGTATGCATTATGGGATATCTGCGTGCAGTCCAGAGCTTTTGAGTCTTGATTTGGTTGTGTTGGATGGCTGTATATCTCATGCTGTGCGTGCATTAGGACATCAGATGGATGTATGGTCTAGGGTTTGAATCTGACTAGTCACTGCAGTCCTGAATGCAGAAAGTAGTGTTAGCACAGCTGCAGAGCTGCAGGTGAGCAGTAAGTCCGCTTGAGTCTTCAGGAGTCTCAGATGAGGGTGGATTTGATGGTTGCTATCCTAATGTTGGAGTTACATATCCCAGTGTTGGTTGCCTTATGTGGAGGGCAGTAAATGAGCTTCACTGCTAGTGTGAATTTGAAAGATGAGGAAAGGAAAAGGAAGAGAAAGATGGGTCAGAGGATAGCGAAGGGCTACTGAAGGCTAAACGAGCTGCAGTCACAAGGTGCTTCACCAGAAGCCATTTCTCTCTCCAACTCGCCAAGGATCCTGTTAGCAGAAGTCCTTTTTGCCTTGATCCACGTCCTAAGCTGGGGAGGTGCAGCAGTGGCCAGCTGGGTGGAGGAGCCCATACCCACAGCAACCCGGGACGCAGAGCCCAGCAGCCCGAGGTGCTCCTGGTGGTGCCGTGCTGCTGGCACACGGCCTGGCCCTCGGGGTGACAGGCGGCCCCTGCGCTCTCCTCGGCTCAGCAGGGGAGCTCTATTTATACTTGCAGTGCTGTCCCACGCTCATTTGAAAGGTGACGGTGTAGACGTGGTGAAGTATTCCTTACCGAAGGTAAAGGATCACTCCTGGCTCGCTATATGCCAATTACTTAGAAACACGGGCTTTAAATAAGTGGGGTGGATGATCTGTGAGCTCAGGAGATGACTTGCTTTAGAGGTATGGCTTACAGCGTTAACACATAGCAAATGTTGAGCAGAAAATGACATTTGAGTCCTTGGATGTATAACTGGAATTGGAGAAACTTTTCTGTTGTGAATAGAGAGCAGGTATTTTTATTTTCTTCAGTAGCCTAACGCCAAGGGTCCTCTGGAGAGTCAGTTTGTGAGGAAAATCTGTTCATCTGAGAAGGTGTGGTGTGGTGTGCTCACATAGAGCTGTGTCTCTGTGGTGGACTGCATGCTGTTCTCCTACTGCACGGTATTCAAAGTGACTCTTTGCAATGTACACGACAAATAAACCCAGAAATTTGTACTTTCAAGCATTTATTACACCAATTATCTCCTGTGTTGCAAAGTCACGTAGCTCCAGTGGAGTAAGGAGTTGAATTGCATCTGATTTTTTTTTTTTTTTTTGGCTGACATTCAAACCACCTCATTTCTGTGTCAAGTGCAGTCAGTGTATCTGAATGGGACGGGCAATGTTGCCTTGTGTCATCTTTTTGAAATGTTTTTCTCTGCTGTTTTCCCTGCTGCAGTGATCTCATCATTCATGCTTTGGTGTCCAGGTCCGTGTTAACTGTGTAACCAGCTGCTAGAAACACTTTTGTGAAATCACTGCAGCTGCTCCTATCATGAAACAAAACAGCTGAAGCAGTCTGTGGTGTTTCTTCAAACTTTTTTTTTTTTCTGTTAAGGAGTTTATCAGTGTGAAGCTATTGGGCTCTGATTTCCTCCCCTGCACGGTAGTGTTATTTTCTGAGATATTCCTTCCTTGCTGTTTAGCATAAGAAGCCATTTCCTCATCACTGCCAGTGAGCTCCTTCTTGCAGTATTTTTTTTGAGAGTCTGGGTAACGCTTGGACTGCAGTTATAAAACATTACCTCGGAAAGTAAACTTTTTGGGAGGTTTTACAGAGATTCTGGTGGTGTATGTGGAGACAGGCATGTGCAGAACTCTGCTCTAGAGGTAAGTATTAGAAACAAAAGTATGATCTGCTTTACCTGTGTGTCTTTTTTTTTTTTAATATAAATCAGGTATTCAGTCTGCAACTTCTGAAACTATCTAGGGGTTCTTAAATTCACTGATGGCCTCTTGCCTGGCTAGAAGTTGCTTGCTTGATCTTGAAAGCTATGGACTGCTGTGGCATACTTTTCCCATGAAGAAAGGCTCTTTAAGGTTGCCATTACTTCTTGATTTCTCTGACACTTCTGGGCCTTTCTTTGTTTCTTGGATAAACAATTCTAAATTTATGTCCACTTTTCTCTATTTAATATCTTTCAGTGGTGTTTTGAATCTGAGTGGTGGCGTGGTGTAGAAAATAGATCACTTCTGGTCAGAGCAGTTCCTTGGCATTCACCAGAGAAGCTGGATCTTTGGTCTTTGAAATGTGTTTTGCCCCGTGTATGCTGTTAGGATCTTGTGGAGAACTTCACATTTGACAGAAGGATGGAAACTTTGAATTTTTCAGAATTTTTTTGAATCTCCAGCAGCTGTAGGAGGGTGATATATGCTCTGTGCTTCGTGACCCCTCGAGCACAGCCTGGGCTGGCTGTGGCAGTGCAGGGTGCCGAGGCAGGTGTGGCAGCCTGGGGGCTGGTGGCACGGATGGGTTTTGTGGGGATGGGGAAGGCTGAGAGGGAGACCCAGCCCCAGAGGGTAAGAATATGCTGAAGTTTCACCAAGGAGTTGGCCTCAAATGGAAAGTATGAAGCCTTAATAAAAGGTCTCAGAGAGAACATCGCTAACTTTCCATAGCCTTTTCTTTACAGAAGCTTGTGGTAGAAACCAGAGGACAAACTCGGAGGAAAGAACGGCAAATAATCCAGCTAGAGGCAAATTTTTTTTTTGGAGTACCTTCTTATATAGTCATTGAGCACCTTTGAGATACAAATATGTAGTAAAATAAACTTCTAGTATTGATGGCAGTGTTTTATGATCATTTCGCACACAGTTTGCAACGGTTTGTGCTATTAGCGTACTGCAGTCACTTGTGCCTGGCTCTACTGTAGCTGCAGATGCACCGTAAAAAGCTTGATCTGTGCTAGCACCCAGATAATCCTCGAGGAATTTGCGTAGGATCTCGCTTCACAGTTCCAAAATCCCGTAATCTGCTGCAGAAAATCTGGGGATGCTGTCAGGGGAGAGTGGTGCTGACCTGTGCAGTGTCCTCCCTGGGTGAGTGTTGGGGGGCAGCAGCCCCAGCAGGCAGGTGGGGTGCCCGCACCCCGGGCAAGGAGCAGAGGCATCCGCGTGCAGCCCAGCTGCTGGAAACCACGAGCACAGCCTTCTCTTTACGATGTCTGACCTCTGCGTTAAAGTTTAATGGGCTTTATTGGTAATTCTTCTGTTCCTAAAAGACAGAGAGCATTTTCAGGAGACTTTCTCCAACGCAGCTGTTTTACAGCATTGCAATTCTCATCTAAACATTTTGAGATCTGGCAGGCAGCGTGGCATTTGCCTGGGTAACAAATTTGTTTTCTTAATTGTAGCTAATGAAATGATAGAGCCTGGAAGAGCCTGTGCCAAAATGTGATGTGCTGTTAGAAGAAGTTACTGGGTCTTTGAGGTTTTCTGATGCAGCTTTATCCGTGTCTGTGGAAGACAATTTTGACTGACAACTTTCTTCATGTCTCCTGCTGCCTTCTCAAAGCGAAAACATGCGTGCAGTTTACCTTCTTCTGTGCAAGCCATCAGCTTGTGGTGAAGTGCGATCTTCCTCTCTATCCCACGCTGAAGGAACGTGAACGAGTTGCCATTCAGCAAGTAATTATAACTTGTCCGCGTGCCAGTGTGCTGCTTTCAGTTTAGCCCTGTGCAGCTGAAACCGTTAGCTTCTGGTTCGTGTCAGAAAATGAAGCCAAACTACTCGCTGGAGCTGGAGCATAAA